GTGGATGTGGATATATCATAAGTTCATTATGATCCACCCCACATCAGGAACACACGAGAAGGAAAGAGTATGTATACGTCTACTGCAGGCAAGTAAAAGGCAAGGAGAGTTCATTTAACAGTTAAACCATTGTCCATATGAATCATCCTGAGATATCAACTAAAAGGATCTCCTTCTTCCCACCATTCTTGCTTTTTCTCGGATAGCATAAATCCGAAGCATAAAGATAATGTGTTTTGTTTAAACACATTACCAGTCAGAAAAATATGAACAGTATCAAAAGCATACAGCAAAAACAAGTCAGGTATTGAAAGCCTAAAACAAAAAATTATATTCATTATCCTAAACATGCTGTCCATAAAAACAAAATACATGGTTCTACTTCCTATTCGGATCGAAGGGAGTAGATTCAAAAGCATCCACTACAGTAGGACTTAGGGTATGAGGAATTGGAGCCGCAGGGGCAGAAGAGCTAGGAGTACCCTTCAGGTGCGCCTTCACCATCTCGGCAAAGCGGATTTCAGCTTCCAAAGCCTCTGGCCCTTCATCATATGGGAAGTGCACCCCCACCTGCTTGTCAAAAGCGTCCAGATCCATCGTCCTAAGGCCTGAGCCCTGATTATAGCCAGACCGGAATGCTTTAGCACTAGCCAGGTGTGCCAGACAAGAGTAGCGCCCCTGCATTTGCTTCCCCGCCTTGAAGCAAGTAGTAAGAGCCTCAGTCAGGCGTTGAACTTCGGCCTGAAGAGAATCCACCTTAGCCTCAGAGGCTGACAACTGCCTCTTATACGCATCCTTGGCTTCAGAAGCTATCTTCAGATTGGTAGAGGCAGTGGTGGCTCTCTTCTCTGCATTGTCAAGATCCTTTTCCAGCTTTTTGATGGAGAGGGATTGGCCTTCAGTAGTGGCACAGAGGGCCATGGTGTGGTATAGACTCTGTATAACAGAGGAACAAATATGAGCATAAATGGAAACATAAGCAAGCAACAGTAACATAATTCTGAAGGAGCAATGCGAACCTCTATGGCCCGGACCGGGGCAGAGGGGAGTAGTTGTTCCAACCCCATTTGGCTGATGGCTTCCTCGTCCTTTGGGAGCCACATCCCTCGAGCCACCGCCAGTGCAGCTGAAGGGTCTGTAATCACAGAATCCCCTGAGTGCAGGACTGACCTGTCAGCCCTGGTGAAGGAAGGAGTCCAAGGAGCCCCAGTCTCAGCCAGAACAAAGGCCCTGACTTCATCTTCAGGTTCGGCCTCTCCAGCCTTTTTCCCCTACTTTTAAAAGGGACCTTGCCCTTGCCAGAGGATGGGGGGTTGAGGCGAGATTTCTTCATTGGTGGTTCCTCAGCCTCCACCTCATCCTCAATTGATCTAATAATGACCAAGGGTTGGGCATCTTTGGCTTTCTTTTTTAAAGCCTCGGCCCTCCGTTTCTCCTCCTCAGTCATAGGGAAACTGTCAAAGGATGGTAGAGACAGATCCATGAGGTCTGCAGCAATAGCACTGGAGGCAATATCCTTGAGGTTTGAAGAAGTTAGCAGTTCCTCGATAGGCGAGGGGTCACTCCAGACTCGTTTCTCAAGAAAAGAAAGTTTGTTCCTTGCTGCGGAGGATGGGAATGTAGCTGAAAAAACACCAAGAAACTCATAAGTACAGCGAAACATTAAGACTTGGCAAGGAAAACAGCCAGAACACTTGGTATGAAGGGAGGTTAAGTATTCTATACCTAATCTCCCGAACTTGCGCGGGATGGGGAGCGTAATTGATTGGGACACGAACCATTTTCCTTTAACTATAACCATCTTTTCTTTCCATTTCTTTTCGGATGAAGGAAGGTTCGTGCATATCCTCTGATGAAGGGGAGAGGTAAAAAAGAAGCGACCAAGCTCGGTCCCATGCTTAGATATATTGTAAGTAAGCAGAAGGTCGGCAAGGGTCAAATCCAGAGCCTCTAATTTCCGGCGCACCAACAGTGCCGAAAGGATGCGAAAGAAATTAGGATTTACCTGAAGGGGGGCAAGACCTAGCTTGTTGAAAACTAAATGATAGAAGGGATGAAGAGGGAATCGGAGGGCGTTAAGATGCCCCACCGAAAGAAGCAATTCATTCTCCTCAATTCCCTCGCCTGAGGTAAAATCGGCACCCTCGGGATATTCTGCAATTTCTACTCCCTCAGAAATATCAAATTATTCCATTACCGAAGCAATAGAGAACTTGATGCGGCGAATAGAGATGATTGCTTTCCTCTCTTCATGAGTAAGAACATAATCAGAGCCTGAGGTGGATGTCTCGGCTGGAAGGGGGGAAGTACCTAATGGATTCAACGAAAGACGATCTGTAGAAACCCTAAGAGGGGGAGCCCTAATGCGAACGGGGGAAGATGAAGGTGTGGATTCAGAATCCCCAATGTCTATACGTTCGGGAGTAGATGAAGTACTCATAATGAAAGATTGAAGAGAAAGATGCGAAACTAACCTGACAAAGCGATGGAATGAAGAACGCAGAAGTGCAGCAAGGGCGAATGTAACTCTTTCAAAATCTTATATGACGGAGTAATAATGAAAGACCTCGAACCGTTTCTGAAGCAAAGTAAAAAACCGGTTTCAATTCCCTCTTTAATAGGAGCCGTCACTCAATTAAAAATGAAATTTGGGGCAAAGTGTGGAGGGAAAAAACTCCCTCCAATAAAAAGCGCACACGTCACCACTACACATATCTACATTCCAAGGACATATAAGGCCCATCATGCTCAAGCCCAAATTGAGGGTATTTACAACCCAAAACCATTGTTATTTGTCCTCCAACCTCCATCAAGGCCGAATCAAGAGGTCATCAGCCCAACTTGTTAATATTTAACATCCAGTCCGTTACTCAAGCCCAGCCGGATCAAAATATGTTCAGCCCAGTTATTCAAGAATGCACAAGTCCTACCAGTTGAAGGATTTACTGTAGATGGAAAATTCTGAGATAGGAAGTTCTGTACAAGGCAAGTTCTATGTATGGAAAATTAGACAATTGAAAGAACTCTATTAGTAAAGAATGTTTATATAGAAAGAATTGGAGGGCAAGCAATGCGAGTCCTACCATAATTTTACAATCTTTTGTATATAAATAGAGGCTAAGACCTCCAATAAAGGGATCAAGCAATTCTACGCTTCTCTATACACTGTTCTTATTTATTCTTATTGTTTTTTGAGTGTGTTGTTCTATTTTTCTCAATCATTATTGGTTGAGCGAAATTTTGCACCTACAGTATTACAAGTCAAATGGCTTTCTCAATTTTATTTTATTTTTTCTAAAACTTAAAAAGTAAACAAACTATTATTTACAATATATCCCCTAATAAGACTGTAACTCTCAAACTCCAAAAAAAATAAAATACCATGGGTAAAGGGCCAGAGGCCATTTGGTAATCTTCCCAAATGGAATAGTAGGTTTTGTAATTATTTTATTAGCTTATTTCTCAAAAACCCACATGCCAATTGAAGCATCTGCTTGACTCTATTCAGAATCTTTGGAGAAGAAGTAGCCAAAAATGCTGGTCTTGCACACCTTATCCTCTTGCATACAAACCATATACAAATACCATAAATCCCCGTGTATATATATGTGTGTGTCCAATTCAACATATAATTTTTTTTTTTCTTTCCTTTATTTAGTTGAAAGAGATGAATATAACACCAGCACTGAATACAAATCTAACATTTGGCAAGTTCTCTTTTTTATTGAATTAGGAACATCTTAAAAGGAGAAGTTTACGAAAATTAATAATGAGAAAAGAGTGAAAGAAGCTGAGATGATTGAAGGAGCTTATTTTGATTCAGGATTTACTCTCTTTAGGGTACGTTTTGAAATCATTGAGAAAAGTGAGAATTTTTGCATAACTACTAAGACCACAATTGAGTATGAAATAAAGGAAGAGGCTGTGGCTAATGCTTCAATTGTTAGTATCAAACTAGTGTTGAAAATTATGGAACTCGCAGCTAATTATCTCATCAAGAACAAAAATTAAATTGTGATAGGCATGTACATTCAACTTTGTAAACCCATTTATCAATGTTATGAAATAAGTTTCAATGTACCTTCAATTGTTTGTTGTTGACTTTTTTCATTTTTATTTATTTTAAAAGGAGGTAAATTTATTTTATAAATATAAAGTGTAGATGTACAACACAATTGTATAGATGTACAACAGCTTTTCAGTTTTGCAAGGAAATCTAAGCCCAAACAATGTATTGTTCTCTCCAGTTGCCCTTGTATATTCAAGGACAGCTAAGCCCAATCAAGGCAATGGCTAAAGAAGGCCCAAAGCCTCAAAAAGCCTGACCCAAACTCCCTATCAAACTGTTGCTGCTATACCAACAAAATTACATATAATTTCGAAAGAGTATTGCTACAAAAATCCATAAATAGAGTCTGAAAATTGTTCTTGTCAGCATTTAAAAACAACAAAATTTCTTTTTTAGATGTTCATTCCAATCACTAATTCCCACAGTAGGTCGATTCTATAACCATAATAAAGTCGTTTCACTGCGAAATTGAAAAATTTTGGTGTATTCGATTGTATGGTATTTAAGTCTTAAAATTAAAATTTATAAAACTTTTTCATAAGTTTCAATTTCGATACAATTTCATACAGTCAAACACATCTTTAAAGTAAAATTAATACAATTAATACACTCAAAAAAACATAGTTGGTCAACTCTCGCAAGGGTAAAAACATAGGGGTCTAAGTGATACCGTGTTGTTTGCATATTTAAGGTTTATCTTACAGCTGTAAGTTTTTTTTTTTAAAAGAAACTAAAAAACAAAATAAAAAAAAACTAACACACTTGTACCAGCCGTCTGTTTCACTCTATTCAGAATCTGTCCAGAAGAACTAGCCAAACATCAGAGGTCCCGCAGATTTGTCCTCATGCATACACGCTCCTCAAAGCCATAAATCACATATATATAATTATACTAAATATTAATTTGCTTATATGTATACACATTCTCTATATATATATACAAATATATGAGTTGGACTGCACAAGGTACCCCATCAACAAGTTTTTAGTTTCCCCCACCAAGAATAGGAAAATGTTTGGAACAATTTCAGAAGAGATGGAAGTGCAAGTTTCAGCCACAGAAGCATGGCAACTCTACGGAACGCTTCGGCTGGCAAGGCTCACTGAAGAAGAGCTCTCTGATGTCATTCACAAAATTGACATCATAGAAGGTGATGGAGGTGTTGGCACAATTCTCAAACTAACATTTCCACCAGGTAATCAATCTATATACACACACAAACACATAGTAGTATAATATGAGTTGAACAAACAGAACATCTGATATGTCTTTTATTAATGAATATTGAATTAGGGACGCCGGTTTTTTCTTATTACAAGGAGAAGTTTACAAAGATTGATGATGAGAATCGAGTGAAAGAAGCGGAGGTGATTGAAGGAGCATATCTTGAAATAGGATTTACTCTGTATAGGGTTCGCTTTGAAATCATAGAGAAAAGTGAGAATTCATGCATAACCAAGTCCACAATTGAGTATGAAATCAAGGAAGAAGCTGCTGCTAATGCTTCACTCGTTAGCATCCAGCCACTGGTGAAAATTATGGATGTCTCGGCCAATTATCTCCTCAAAAACAAAAAGTAAACTATGATATGCCTCTCTACTTTCAAATTTGTCAGCCCTTTATCATTGTTATAAAATAAATTTCAACTGTAGTTTGTTTGTTGTTAAGAAAGGATGAAATTAAACCGATGATGTTCAAATTTCAATTGTAACTTGTTTGGGATTATATATATATACAGTTATAGTGTTATACACACAAATGAATGGGTGTGTATGCATGTATATTAGATATAGAAAATGATTTTGTGGATATTAGGAGAACTATTAATTTGACAACTAAAAGTATTAATATTTGGAGGAAATATATGGTGATTCTTATACAAGTAGCTTGGGAAGTTTCATCACTGAAGTAGCCATATTATAGTTGGAGTATGAACAAGGTTAGTCTTGTCTCCATGCCGCAATTCCTAGTTTCAATCGCCCTGTTGTTGAGAAATTTATGTGTTTTAATTAAACAACGTTTTTGTTGTAAATTAAATTGAAAAATCTATATATACAAATGCATAAGACATGTACTAGAATCTATTTATTAAACATAACTGTGAAAACCATTAATTATTTCAGAATTGAGTTTGAACTGCTTTGGTTAATATTCAAGATTTGAATGAGAAAGATGGATGCCTTCCTTTTTTGTTTGTATTACAAGTAAAACTACCGACCAAGAAAAGTGGGTGCAACATAAATGCAAGTGTCCTTGCATCAAATATAGTATAAGAGTGCACGTTACTAGCAAACTTGAAATTCAAAGAAAAGCTTCGTTGAGTACAGTGACAGGCCCCAGGATTTTTTCTGAGGGTGCCCCATTGAAGAAAAAAAAATGAAGGTAATTTTTTTTTCAAATATATAATAAATATAAGAATTTAATTTTTTGTGACTTGTCCAACATGTGCCTTACCTTTGTCAAATTCAGATTTTTAAAACATTTTTAGCTGTGTGCTTCTTAATTATATTACTCCGTCCATAGGATGTGGAATAGTAGAGAGTAAAGAAAAAAGAGACTTCATAAACTATACTTTCTTTTGGATCTAAAAATATAAATATATAATGGGTATTTTTAAAAATTAAGTGAGAATATCAGACTATGTAAGCGAGAATTTACAATAATTAACATGAATGTGCGTAGTAGAAAGTGAAAAACGACGACTATCTTTTAGATCCAAAAGAATTAGTAGGGGCAAGTATATGAAGTGAGGTATTTTTACAAATTGAGTGGGGCATATTTAAAATTTTAATAAAATATAAGTAATAATATAAATAGAAAAAAATTCAATGGGGGCAAATGTCCCCAAGGGGCCTTAATTAGCTCCGTGCCCGGTTGAGATGAAGATGTTGAACTAACAAGAGGAAAAAATAATAAATTTAATTGATAAAAAAAACTTCAAGTCTTGAATCTTATGCTATGTTTAGTGTGTAGAAATGAAATGAAATAGAATGTTCATTTTAACCATTCATTTGTTTGGTATACAGAAATGGAATGATCATTCCATTGGAATAAAAATACATTCCATTACTAAACCTATAGAATGACCATTCCATTCCATTCCATAGTAACATTAAATATTTTTATAATATTTCCAATAAGTCCTTCATCACATTCCAATAACGAGCAAAAATCTTTCGCATAAACAAAAAAATCTTTCACATTCCATGTTTCATATTTCTCGAGCTTTTTTATTAGACGTAGTAAGGTCTTTCACCTCCTCTCTTTCTGAATATACCCATGACTATCATTGACAAAAAGTTGTAGGACGTTCAACCATATTATATATATTATTGAGATTGATATATCATTAAATATATATATTTTTTAGCTTTTACATTAGCTTCTTATGTTAAGTATTCAACCCATTTTTGGATAAAATTATACTGACAAATTTATTTGTTTGTCTTCCATCATGGTGGTTTGGTTTAGTTGTAAAACTTGAATTTGTCTAAAATTTAAAGACCATTCTAGAACTTTTGCAGTCATTTATTAAGATTAATATCTCATTAAAAATAATATTTTATTTTATTTTAAAGTTTTTCTTTATTTTATTTTTTTCAATAGCAGTTTGGGCATCTTATAATATTCCATAATTTATCCTCAAAAATTAGATTGATATTATTAAAAAGTAATGTAAGCTAATAAAAAGAGTATTTTTGAAAAAAATAATTCTATTTCAGATTTAATAATAGTCAATCAAATAATAGAATAGTAATTAACCACTCCATAAAGATTAACCGTGTCATCCCAAACAATACTCATTTCATTTCATTCTGAAAAAAAAAAACAATATTATATTTTTTTTATTTTCTTTTACTATATATCCAAACATAAAACATAAATAATAGAGAGTATTGTTATCATTTTTTTTTTTTGTTTTCTTCTCACTTTTCACCTATGTCCAAACAGAACCTTAAGGTTTAACCAATGCATGAGCCCTGAGGAAAAGAAAATTAAAAAAAGGCAAACAAGAAGCAATCCAGATATATATGAAAAAGAAATGAAAATCCATAACAGCATAAAAGCAATTCCACCTATAATAGAGTAATATAGGCTGTGTGTGTGAGTGAGAGAGGGGGGGTGGTATAAGGCAACCAACAATGGCTGAAGGATGATCGACGACAATGAGGTGAGGGGTTGACGCTGGCGAGGAGAGGGGACGACCAACCTTAGCTGAACCATGGGTAGAAAATCAAGATAAGATTCTTCAGTCTTGTAACCAAGGAAATCAAGATAAGATCTAGATCTTATCCCCTTCGCTTTCACCTTAATAATGTTATAATATAGTCGAGTGCATATCCCCGCGGCAGATCCGGCAACATATCAGATCAAGAAAAATAAAATCATAGAGGGACACGAGTACAGCGAATTGGACACGTGTGTCTGTGTGGGACAGGTGTATATGCTTTGGAGCCTGTCTTCGGAGAAAAAAATTTATTTGCGCACGGTGACATCAAAATGTTTATTATACGGGAGTAATGTGTATTATACTATTAAACCAATGCGTCTCTGAAGCAACGGGGCACAATAAAGTGTTTTTTCTTTCCTTCGCCTTGGCATCAAAATAGTTATTGAGATTGCCGGAGCATGGTGCATCGATTCATTCGTATGGTATGTACATAAGTTGTCCCATGGACAATGCCCGACGTTACAATAGAGCGATGGTTCAACGTCGGCCTGTTTGTAACTGAAGATACAAAAAATTGCCCTAACAGTATTTCCGCCATTAAAATTTCCTAAAAATGTTTCGTCTTTTAAACACTCGAAAGTTTCACGTAAAAGTTCTATCATTATATATTAGCTTCATCTTATACCCTTATAAGACTATCTCCAATGCAAAATTGCCTATTTTATATCTCAAGTTTATATTTTGAGAGAAATTACAATATCAAAATATTATATTTTAATAATTATATTTGTATTTCATCCAAAATGTTATTTTTTAACACAAAAATGTACCATTATTTTTTAACTACCATTCTCAACTACAATTTTCAACAACCATTTTTTTTTTTTTGTGTGAGTGTTGTATTTTATTTAGTTTATTTGCCTTATTAAAATAAATAAATAAAAATACTGACATATATATATATATATATATATATATACAAGCCCAACACCAAATTGATGCCCATGCAAGAGAGAAGAGAGTAATAGCATATTTGGCAATAATTATATGTTATGTTATATTTGGCATAACATTTGGCAAAGTTATATTTTGACAGCACATTTAACATGCATTGGAAAGTTCATTTGGCATGTCATTGGAGAGTCTATTTTAAACCCACGTGCTATATTTTGAAAATAGCATTCCAAATAGCAACCCATTGAAATTGCTCTAAATTGTTTCTCTTTGTTCTTCTTCATACTTACATTCATACTTACAAAAGGAGAGTTTTCTTACAAATTAATATTCCTAATTTGATTACATCTCTCTTACTCTTCAAGTTAAAATTCTTCACTACACTTACAAAACAAAGTAAACAAATCTAATAATAGAGTCCTAATATATAATGCAAACTTCCCATATATATATATATATATATATAGATATATAAGGAGACAAATACCAAATAAGTATATGGACATATATATTTATTCATAAGGGTAATTATTACTATTATTATTTTATTACTATTATTATTATTATTATTAAATTCATAAGGGTAATTTAATTGTGTATATTATTTTACCACTATTATTATTATTTAATTATATATATTATTATTGAGGATATAAAAAATGGTCTGGGTTGGGCGTGATCCAGATTGCTAGAAACAAGTCAGGCAAGAGCAACCGCTCCAAATCAAGTCTTCAATGGCCAAGCCCAAGACCGGAAGATCATGTTGGAAGCCCGATTTTGAAAATAAAATGAATTGGGCCCATAACCAAAAAGAGTCCAGAAGAATAGCCCAATACAAGGAATTAGTCAGGAAGCTTGTAGAAGATTTGTAACCGTCTATAAATAGACTAAAAATAGAGGAAAAAATGAATGGAAAATATTTGAAGTGCAGAATTGTTCTTGACAAATTGAGAGAGCATCTTTCTTGCATCTTCAATTATTAATATTATTGTTTTACTATTAAACTCATAAGGATAATTTTGACATGTAAAATCATTTTTCTTTCACTCTCTTACTATCGAAACTAATTAAATAATATTTTCTCATAAATTTCTTTAAAAAAATTCTTACTGACCAAATGTATAATAGAAAATTAATTTTCATTTTGTTTTTTCACTTCACCTTTTTTTCTTTCACTTTCCAACATCAATATCAAGTGACGGAGCCATTGGAAAAAATTTCCAGGAGGGACACATTATAGTATTTGTACACCATAACATGTATTTACGATATAATGTACATAAATATAGGTGTGTGTGTGTATATATATATATATATAGAAAGAGATAGTAATATTTTTAGAATTAAATTAATTTATAGATATAAAATATAAGTATTAAGAAAAAAATTTAGGAGAAAAAAAATATGAAACATATATAGGATTTTACGAATAATCAAAAAAATTCAAGAGAGCACTCTATATTTTTATAAAAAAAAAAATATCTATTTTATTATAAAATATGGGAGAGTGAGAAAATTCGAAGGGCACGTGTGCTTGTTCCTTAACGGCCTCCGTCACAATATCCAGTTTACCAAACCAACCCTCTGCTTCCTTTGTGGGGGTGGTACGCCTTTACAAATTCGTTACCGCTAGCATGACTAGAGCTCATGATACATGATCGAACCTTTATCATACACCACAGCAAACATACACGTCACTGCTTACGTTATCAACACTTGATCTCCTTGTCTATAAAAACTCTCTCTCCCCATGTACATGCTCAACACACCCAATTAACAAGTCTCTCACAATCACCATCCACCGAGAAAACAAAAATGTTCGGAACAGTTTCAGAAGAGATGGAAGTGCAAGTTCCAGCCAGTGAGGCATGGAAACTCTACAGCACACACAGTCTGATAAAGTTCGTTGAAGAAAAGCTGTCTAATGTCATTCACAAGATTGAGATTTTAGAAGGTGATGGAGGTGCTGGCTCAATTCTCAAAGTATCACTTCCGCCAGGTAATCTATATATATATATATATATCTATTTCTGTCCAATTGAGCATATATTTTTTCCTACTTTTTGTATGTTTTTTTTATTAAATTAGGGACAATCTCAATCTTAAATTATAATGTCATGTAAATTGAATAGAGAGTTTCCCTGTTGACAACAGTAGATCTGATCTGATCTGATCAGATTACATCCTCAATTCATATTCGAAATTCACTCTATCGAATGTCCCATCGGATAAATCGGTTCCGATTATAAATTATACCCTTTTGCAATTGACATGAACACAAATCAAGCAAATCGATCTGAAAATAGAGTAGAGATAGAGAGAAATGGGTTCGGTAAGAGAGGGAGGGAAGAAGAAAATGAAGAGGGAATTACATCAGAGACTTATAATATTTATTACTGTGTGGGTGACAACACCTCACTAGGTGATTATTATTATTATTTCTTACATTGTTTTAATCATATAAATAATTTTTTTTTTTCTTTTTTATTATTTTGCTTTCGAAATCAAGAGATATTAGTATATATAACATGAATGGATTGAATAGGGATCTAACATTTTGTATGTTTTTAATATTTATTTATTTTTTATTATTGAATTAGGGTCCGGGGGTTTTGCTTCTTACAAGGAGAAGCTTACAAAGTGTGATGATGAGAAGCGATTGAAAGAAGCAGAGGTGATTGAAGGTGCTTTTCTGGATGTTGGATTCACTCTGTATAGGGTTCGGTTTGAAGTGATAGAGAAAAGTGAGAGTTCGTGCATAACAAAGTACACAATTGAGTATGAAGTCAAGGAAGAGGCTGCTGCTAATGCTTCAATGGTTAGTGTTCAGCCACTGGTGACGATTATGGGAGTCGCAGCCGATCATCTCATCAAAAACAAAAAATAAATTGGGATATTTATGCATCCACTTTCACCTTTGTCAACTACTTATATCAAATAAATTTCAATGCAGCTAGCTTGTTTCCTTTTTATTTTCCAATAAATTAAACATTTTCCTTTTCCATAAATATCCTAGCTTCTTTGTTAAGAAAGATTAAAGCTTATTTTGTTCAAATTTCAAATGTAGCTTGCTTGGGATTAAAGCTTTTTAAGTGTGTAGCTTTTAATATTTTTTATTATTATAATGTTAGGGAATCAATTTTTGAGTATGTCAAAAATAATGATAAGTAGTCCATAGGACTTAGTTGATTGTTTTATGTTAGAGTTTGATGATATTCTTATGGTCTTACGTGAGAGTTGGATAATATAATTAAATATGATGAAGTTATCGTGATGTCATACTTTAATGATACTATCTAATTCGAGAGTTAGATGTAACTGATTGTTTTATGTGAGAGTTGATAATATCATTAAATATGATAATGTCATCCTTACATAAATTTATGATAATGTCATCCTTAACATAAATTTAGTTGAATGAAAAGTAATTCGAGAGTTATTGTTTTATGTGAGAGTTGATGATATCATTAAATATGATAATATTATCCTTACATAAATTTAATTGAATGTGTCCCTATAGGTTTGTATTATTAGACTAGAAAAGGTGGACAGTTTTTTTATAAGAAGAATGGATTATAATACATGGGTCAAGTGTAAAAAACACACCTATATCATGCTTATAGTAAGTGTCACATTTCTTTTGTGTACAAAATACTTCTAAAATTTTAATTTGTGCAAATAAGTTCTTCCTGATACATTTTAGGAGTGAAAGTACCATGCATAATATATATTAGGGATTGTGGTGTTTTTTGCACTCGACCCTATAATATATATATATATATATAGTATGTAATAATGGAGGAAACATATGGATTATAATGGTAACAGGTGATAAGAAAGAAGGAAAAACAAAAGTTGTAAAAGGTGAAAAGAAATAAAGAAAGAGAAAAAAAAGTTGAAAATGGTGGAAAGAAAGAAAGAGAGAAAGACAAAGTTGTAAAAGGTGAAAAAATATAAATAAATAATTGATTGGGATTATAAATAGGACAGAAAAAGGTTGATATATATCAATAAAATATGAAGAGTATGGAATAATAGAGGGAACATATAAGCTCCACATGTAAAAAGTGAAAAGAAAGAAAAAGAAAAAATGAAAGTGGATTTTTTTTTATTTTTTTGGAGATATATATATATATATGTGTGTGTGTGTGTGTTAGTCTTAGAAGCCTAGAAAACAGTGAACATGTGAATCAAGTAATATTATGATTGATGAGTACTTTTCTTTTCTTTCTTTTTTTTGTCTTTTTTTTTTTTTTTTTTTAACATTGCACGAGTGAGGCGTTTATGTTCCATTTTCCAATAGGTCGGTTTATAAATCAACGCTCAACTTTGGAAATTGAAGTGCAGTAAAAATGATATGTACATTTATTACATTATTAGTCTCCACGTCTTGATCCGTTGTCGTCGCTGCCGCTTCTTGATCCATCGTCGTCGTCGCCTCTGCATCTAGATCCACCGTCGTCGCCCTTCTTAACAATAGCCATCGTCGCTGCTTCATGATCAACTTCTTAACCACAGCCGTCGCCGTCGCCACCCTTCTCAACCACAGCCGTCTCTCCGACGCCAACAACAGCCGCCGTCTCTCTGACGCCAACAACAGCCGCCATCTTTCCGACGCCAACAACAGCCGCTGCCTCTCCCCAACAACCACAGCCGCCGCTGCCACCATCGCACCGACACCAACAACAGCCGCCGCCACCTTTCCCCAATAACCACAACCACTGCCATCGCACCAACGCTAACCCACCACCAAACAAAAGCTTGTGATCCAACCGTGATTCCCAATGACGGCGACGACCAATGGAAGCTTCGACGAAGGCGACCATCATACCAAACAACGTTGATGGCTAGAGAATTTCCCGACAACGACCCGATGCCGAGGCTCCACTGCTCTGACGAACCGACACTAACCCACCACCAAACAAAAGCTTGTGATCCAACCGTGATTCCCGACGACGGCGGCGACGACCAGTGGAAGCTTCGACGAAGGCGACCATCATACCAGACAACGTTGACGGCTAGAGAAATTCCTGACAACGACCCAATACCGAGGCTCCACTGCTCCGGCGAGAAGAACGATGATGGCGGTGGTGGTTCGATTAATCACAATCTATATATGTGTGTGTGTGTGTGTGTAGGAAGAAGATAGATTACAGGAATTTGGGGGAAGTGATTTTGGGAAAGAAGATGGATTACGGGTTATAAATACACAATATATGTTTGTACATTATGCAGAGAGATTAGGAGTTAATCTTTACACTTTCTATTTTGTATTTTGTGATACTTGATAGCTTTATTTCAAGCACCATTGTGGTGGTGGTGGTAGTGGCGGCGACGGCGGCGGTGGCGCCTATGGTAGGGCTGTGAAATGGTGGTGGTGGGTGTGAACTGGTATGACTATAGTTTCTAGGGTATTTTGGTCAATAAAAAATAGTTGTATTTGATAAATTGGTAATTGAATGTGTCAAAGGACAATAATGTCAATTCACGACCATTGGAGTGTCTTTGTTAACTTTATCAAATCTAAGGGGATGTCTTTGTTCAAAAAACGGCTTAGTTGTATATGACTGTCAATATGATAAACTTCAGGGGGTGGTGTTGTAATTAACCCTAAAATATATTAGGATGCACGTGAGTAAAAGTGTGTGTATAATTATAAAGTGAAATAATTGTAAATGATAAATAAATCTCTCTCTCTATCTCTCTCTCTCTCTCTCTCTCTCTCTCTCTTTCTATATATATATATATAAGGATAATTTTGTATTATTATTTATTATATATTAATAATATTATAAAATATATTATTTCGGGTAAAATACACTAACACCCTATGAGGCTTGTCAAAATGACATACAGGTACAGCTTACCTTATTTTTGAACAATGACACCCCTCACACTTGATAAAATGGACAAAGACACCCTTACAATAATGAATTGACTATATTACACTTCGGTATAAAATTGACAAGGGTTAATTACAACGACACCCCCTGAGGTTTGACATAATGACAGCCATATACAACTTAACTATTTTTTGGACAAAGACACCCCCTGCAATAATTTTGATCCAAACAAGACCTTAAAACTTTAGAAAAGATGAGATTGCCCTTCAATATTTAATTAATTTTTATTGTAAAATATCAGAATTCATGAAAAGTCAAATTTGTCCTTATATATATACATTATTACCCTTATATTATTACTCTAATATTAGTAAAATATATTAAAATATTAGTGCATTATTATATATTAGTATACTATTAGCGTAATATATTAAAATATTAGCGTAATATACATATAATATATATATATATATATATATGGAAGAGCAGCGGGGAAGAGAGCACCAGCCGCCACCACCCTCATCGACGCCTCCCTACTACGCTGCCACACCCAATTCCCCAACCTCTCTCCACTACGCTACCACACCCAAATCCCGAATCTCTCTCCACCCACCATTGCAAAGCCACACAAAACCCAACAAACATGATGAGGTGGAGGAACGGTGGAGATCGATCTCCTTTCAGTCCGGCGACGCCGTTGATGGAGGTGGCAACAGTGGGTTTTAGATTACAGTGCGGGTTCGGGCAGAGACCGTTGCCAAAGAGTATGCCAAAGTTTTTGTTGGCCAGATGCCGTTGCCAGGCAAATCAAAATTCGAGTCGGCAACGAGGAATCAGTCGCGATTCCGGCGACGATTTTTTGGTTCACGATTCGCGAATCCTGCAGCAGCTCGATGGTATCCTCGTCAGTCCACATCAGTCGAAAGAACCTCCGAGACTCATCAAGGCCAACAGCTTCTTCTCTTCGACAACGATGGCGATCGAGACGTCCTCAACGCAGAGCTCGGAACGGCAGCAGCGGCGACAAGGCACGACGCAGAGCTCGGCCTTTGCTCCACCGGTCATTGAGTTTAGTGAGGATTGATAGGTTGGATTTAGGGTCTAGGCATCATCTTCTCAAGTGTATGAGATTGGGGGTTTGAGATTTATATATATCTATAAATCTGTGTGTTTGTGCAACAATTAGGATTTTTTGTGGGTTATTCATGAGTTAATTGGCTGGAATTATGTGGGTTTTTCATGTGTTCAATGGGTTTTGGTTGTGGTGGCAGAGGTTGCAGTGATGGGTGGAGAGAGAGAAAGAATAGGTGGTAGTATTGGTGGTGGCAACTGATTGGTGGTGATTGTGGTGGTGGCTATAGTGGGGTATTTTAGTTAATAAAAAAATAATTATTTTAAATAAATTAAAAATTGAATGTGTCAAGGGCAATAATGTCAATTCAGGACCATTGGGTGACTTTATCAAACCTAAGGGGATGTCATCGTTCAAAAATGACTTAACTTATACATTCCTGTTATTATGTCAAACCTCAGGGATATCATTGTAATTAACCCGTTAACAAATATAACACTTTTTATTAACTTTAATACTTTTTTATCTCTTTCCACTTTCTCTTTCCCTCTCAAGCCCATTTTACCCCCACACACGCACCGCCACAACCACAGCCCCACACACACGCCGCCGTCGGAGAGGAATGGTGACAGTACTAATCCATCAAGAGCTAGCTCTCTTTGGAAACCCCTTTTTCATCTCTCAAGACTGGTACCTTCCAAAAAAGCGGAACAAAAAGGTACCTATCTGCTGAGTAAAGGTGTAGGAAAACAAAACAATCACATTTCCATATCATTTTTACCATTCCGAACGGGAAATCATAACCCTCCACCCAACTCAGCCTGATATTCAATTGTGTTGATTTCTTCATTTTTCTAGAAACTAAAAGAATTATATTACAAAACCCAAAATTGAAGTCTCTTTTGTTTTCCAATTTCTCACCAACCAAACAGAGTGTGTTCACATAAAATTAGAATAAAAAGAATAACCAAATCAAGATAAATTTCAGAGCAGGAATTTGTCTCCTTCTATACAAAAATCACCAACAGAAATCAAGTACTACGGATCTATTAAGTATCCAAATAAACAAAGACATAAATTCGTAAACGCATATATGTATACTAGAAGAGTCGAACCTTTCTTTCTTTCCTGATGGACGACGAACCGGTAACAAAATCCTCCGACACATAGCCATCGGCGGCATGATCGGGAGTGTCAGCCGAAGAGTCGTGATTGCCGCCGATGACGCCGTTCTGAGGTGTACTGCTACCAGATCCGGTGACTGTACTAACCGGCGTCGGAGAAGAATGGTGACTGTACTAACCGGCGTAGCGGCTGCGCAGTGGAAGATGTATATATATATACACACACACTAATATATAAAGAGGGGGCAGAGAGTAATTGCGAGAAAGAGGCAAGGGTAATTTAGTCCTTTAATTATTTTATATTTTATAATTAAAATTAATTAAACAGTGAAAGGTAAAGTAGACTTTTCACATGTTTTAAGGCTCTGTTTAACTTGCAGATATCATCGGGTGTCATTATCCCAAATATCATCGGGTGTCATTATCCCAAAATAACTTGCAAATATCATCGGGTGTTATTATCTCAAAGTAAGATAAGTTTCATGTGAGTGTTCTTTTAGTAAACTTTAAGCGTGTTAACGTAATTTACCTTATTATTTATTAAAATAAATAACATTATAATTTTTTTAAATAAATTATAAAAATTAAATATTTAAATAATCTTGTCTATAGTATTCTTTGTTTATGATTTATTGATATATTTTAATATAAAATTATTGTTATGTATTTATTAAAATAAATTATATATTTCCTTCTCTAATTAAGTTTCATTGCATTGAATTACACAGCCTTTCCTACTACTATATTACTATTCTTAGTATTTCTCCTATAATTAAATTTTTTTTATTGAATTAAATAATTTTTTTTAATTTTACATAATTCTTTCTCTAATTAAATTAAATTTTATTAAATTTCAATAATTGAGCTTTAAATATCATATATTTCCTACTCTAATTAGATTTCTTACTACTATATTATTATTACTGTTTACAAACTATAATATTATAAAAGTTTTTAATATTATATATTCCCTTTTCTAATCAGATTTATATTTATTGAATTTCAGTATTGCCTAATACTATATTATTATTGTTAGTATTTCATTCTCTAATTAGATTTATTTTTTTAATTAAATAAATAATTTTTAATATTATATACTTTCTTCTCTAATTTGATTTTCTTTTATTAAATTTCAGTACTTTAATTTTTTAATATTATTTACTTTCTTCTCTAATTAGATTTATCTATATCTATATATTTCTCATCTAATTATATTTTCTTTTATTGAATTTCAATTTTTAGTTTTTTATATTTTAATAGATTTCCTACTGCTATATTATTATTAATAGAAGTATCTCCTACTACTATATTATTAAATAATTTTTTTAATATTATATATTTTATTCTATAATTATAATTCTATTTATATTTCCTACCACTATCTTATTAGTATTAGTATTTCTTTCTCTAATTAGATTTTTTTTATATTTAATTTGAGTAATTTAATTTTTTTAATGTCATATATTTTCAACTCTAATTAGATTTCCTACTACTATATTGTTATTATTAAATAATTTTTTTATATGATATTATATATTTCATTCTCTAATTGGAATTATATTTATATTTCCTATTACTATATTATTATTAGTAGTAGTATTTTCATCTATAATTATATTTTTTATTGAATTAAATAAATAATTTTTTAATATTATATATTTCATTTTTTAATTAGATTTCCTCTTATTAAATTTCAGTATTTTATTTTTTTAATATTATATATTTCATTCTCTAATTAGAATTCTATTTATTTTTGTATTACTATATTATTATTAGTACGTTGTAGTCATCCTAAGATTTCATACTTAGTTACTGTATTATTAAGGTAAATTTATTATTTATAGAATTTTATTTATATTTTCTATTATATTATTTCAGTATTAGAATTCCATTTATATTTCCTAGTTAGAATTCTATTTATATTTCCTACTATATTATTTCATACTTAGTTACTGTATTATTAAGGAAAATTTATTATTTATTTATTATAAAATAATCTACTGAAACATCCAATTTAAGATATTTATTTATTTTTTACGATATTGAGGCTCCAATAAAGTCCACAAGCTCCAATAATTCCCACTAGTGTGCTCCCCTTTCCTTTTTCTTTAATCCATTTCCCTACTCAAATTTCAAATCCCAAAAAGATTTGATTTAATAAAAAAGTTTGAAGCTTTCTTCACCTTTACTTTTGTGTAACCTTTTAAGTTTTCTTTATTTGCACTCTGCCATCATCATTAATGTATAGATCTTGATACCATTGACCAAATCTTCTTGTACACCTCACTGCTGACATCACCGAGCCTATAGTAGTGTATATAATATAATAAAATCACAACATACTATGACCAAAACTTAAATTTGAACGCATCAGACTCTACTAATAACACTAATGACGGTCTTAATACAGGCTCAATATCATGTGTAACCCCGTGTGTGTATATATATAGTAGTACTCGTAGTGGATAACACTCTCTCTCTCTGCTGAATCCCAAACAAGTTTACTCACCATCACACACTGTCCACCAAGAAAAGAAAAATGTTGGGTTCAGTTTCAGAAGAGATGGAAGTGCAGGTTTCAGCCAAGGAAGTATGGGAACTGTACGGAACCCATCGGCTGATTAAATTCGTTGAAGAAGAGCTCACCGATGTCATTCACAAACTTGAGATTGTACAAGGTGATGGAGGTGCTGGCACTATTCTCAAAATTACATTTCCACCAGGTAATCTATATCTGTCTATGTGTGTGTCCAATTATATATATATATATATATATATATATTGTGTTTTTATTTTCCTTTCCAAATCAAAAAACATTAATATGACATAGTGGAATGAATAGATTGAATACAAATCTAACATTTTTTATGTTTTTTTGTTGTTGTTGAATTAGGGATGTTTGTAATCTATAACTCGTGTGTGTCCAATTGAACATAATCTTTTCTTTTCTTTTATTTTTTCCTTTTTTTATTATATATATATATATATATATATATATATATATATATTACTTTCAAAATCAAAAGAAATTAGTATAACACGAATGCAATGAAGAGATTGAATACAGATCTAACATTTTAGTATATGTTTTTGAATGAATTAGGGATATTGGTAATCTATAACTACATGTGTGTCCAATATATTGAACATATATATATATTTCTTTTTTATTATATATTTTCCTTTTGAAATCAAAAGAAATTAGTATAACATGAATGGAATAAACAGATTGAATACAGATCCAACATTTTATATGTTTTTGACTGAATTAGAGATGGTGGTAATCTATATCTACATGTGTGTCCAGTTGAATATAATTTATTTTTCTTTCAAAATCAAAAGGCATTATTAATCTTCTTTCCCCCCTTTTTTATTATATATTTTCTTTTTGAAATCAAAAGAAACCAGTATATCAATATGGAATGAACGGATTGAATACAGATCTGACATTTTGTATGTGTTTTGAGTGAATTAGGGAAGTCGACATTTTCTTCTTACAAGGAGAAGCTTATCAAAATCGATAACGAAAAGCGAGTGAAAGAAGCGGAGGTGATTGAAGGAGGTTATCTTGATTTAGGATTCACCCTCTACAAGGTTCGTTTTGAAGTGATGGAGAAAAGTGAGAATTGTTGCATTAGTAAGTTCACAATTGAGTATGAAATCAAGGAAGAGGCTGCTGCTAATGCTTCGATGGTTAGTATCAAGCCACTGGTGAACATTATGGGAATCGCAGCTAATTATCTCATCAAAAACAAAAAGTAATTTGTGATACGCATCCCACCTTCAAGCTTGTCAACCGTTTATCAATGTTTTCAAATAAATTTCAATGTAGTTTGTTTGCCTTTTTCTGATAAATTTAACTTCTTCTTTGTTCCAAAAATATCATAGCTTGTTTGTTGTTGAGAAAGGATGTAAGCTGATCTTGTTCAAATTTCAATTGTACCTTGCTTGGGTTTAGCTATATATATATATATATATATATATATACGCACGCACAAGCATGTGTGTGAATATCCCAAATCAAACAATCCCGGATTGGCTCCAGTTGAGGGAATTTTATGCCTTAGTCCTGTGTGTGAAGAATTGTTAGCACATTACATTGTAGTATAGAACATAACTGTCATATAAATAATAAAAAGTTTTTGCACAAATGACGTAATGAGATGCGGCGGAAGACGAAATTACACAAGAGGATATTTCATATTTGGGTTCCGAACAACCCACAAAAACATGTAGCTGGTACATGAATATAGTTGTCCTACTCAATGTCATTGACTCATTGATATTGTGTTTGTATTACAAGTCAAAGAATCCACCAAGAGATGCAGGTAGTACACAATTTTAAGTGTATGTCCTCGACATCAAATAGTCTGTTTTGTAATTCTATTAGGGCTAGTTTAGTGTGGTGGAATAAATTAGAATAAAATGAGAATAGAGGTGGGAATGGAATAGAATGATCATTCTTTTTGTTTAAAGGTGGAATGATTTTGATAGAATAACCATTCTCCAATAATAGTAGAGAATGAAGATTCTAACTTTAAAATTGACACCAAATACGAGAATGAAAAAAAAAATTATTCCATTCTATTTTCTTTTATTCCATTCTACCACATTCAACTAGCCTTTAGCTCCTTGCACTCATGGCTCATAGCACATTCACGTATATATGCAGTGAGCCACTCCATATAATACAACTCTTTCCTTTCATGGTTTGAAATCCTGCTCGACCCAACTCTTTCTTTCTCTCTCTAGCCCCCTCTCTTTTCTGTTGCCTTCAACTTCGTCTTCCTCATCTGATTTTCTCCTTGCTCCCTTCCATGGGAGTGGGGAGGTGACGTTTCTTGCCTCTCATATGCTAAATAAAATCGGCGTGTAATAATAAGTTTGCTCTATAGGTGGTTTTCATGCCCTTTTTGCTTTTGTTTTGCTAGATCTGCTCCTATTTAGCTTGTTTCCGGCTTGACTGGGTGGATCTATTGTTTTTTCTCCGACTAGATCTTAAATCTTTATCGATTTTTGTTTCTTGCCTCTCATATGCTAAATAAAATCGGCGTGTAATAATAAGTTTGCTCTATAGGTGGTTGTCATGTCCTTTTTGCTTTTGTTTTGCTAGATCTGCTCCTATTTAGCTTGTTTCCGGCTTGACTGGGTGGATCTATTGTTTTTTCTCCGACTAGATCTTAAATCTTTATCGATTTTTGTTTGTCCCCGACTTGTGCGGGGTTTGGGTGGTTTTTTTACCTGTCGGAAGCGCCTTGTGAATGTAACTTTAGAGTTGTTGCCTTGATGATGACGTGACCTTTTGGTCATTTCCGTTGATACTCTTCTCCTTTGGTGGTTTCCGTTAATTTTCTCAACAAATTTGGAGGTTAGTCTTCATTTTTCTTATTTTGCTTCATGATTTGTATAGCTTTTTCTGCCGTGGCTTTGTTGCATCTGTACTGTCCTACATGGATGTGTTGTGTAGATGACTCTGTAAATGGTGTATAGTTGTTTTCTTATTGCCACGGTTAAAAAAATTAATAACATTAAAGATAAAAGTACAACACCCTTACTATACCGCATCAAATCTAACAAATAGAATTTTTTTTTTTTTTAATTCATGAAAACCATCTTAAAAAATAAATAAAATAGGTTCTATTAACAGATAGTTGTCAAAAACCCAAATGCCAACAAGAAGTCCTTAATTAAAACTCACATTTTAGTATACCGCATCACATCTAACAAATAGAAATTTTTTTTATTCATGAAATCCATCTTAAAAAATAAATAAAATAAGCCCGACCTTATTAGCACTAATAGTTGTCAACAACACTTAATTAAAACCCACTTGACAGCATTATTCTTCACTCCATTCAGAATCTTTGCCGAAGAAGTCGCCAAAAATTGTGCTACTACACATGTCCCTTGTCCTCTCTCTATATATGTGTTCAATACCCAGCAAGTTTATATAATTCCCACCATCACTATCTCCAACAAACACAAAAATGTTTGGAACAGTTTCAAAAGAGATGGAAGTGCAAGTTTCAGCCACGGAAGCATGGGAGCTCTACGGAACGCTTCTGCTGTCGAAGCTCGCTGAAAAAGAGCTCCCTAATGACATTCAAAAAATTGACATTATACAAGGTGATGGAGGTGAAGGCACAATTCTCAAACTGACATTTCCACCAGGTAATCAATATATATGTGTGTGTGTGTGTGTGTGTGTGTGTGTGTGTCCAATTGAAATATATATATATATATATATATATAGATTTAACATTTCACATGTTTTTTGATTGAAATAGGGACGATTTCTTCTTACAAGGAAAAGTTTACAAAGGTCGACAATGAGAAAAGAGTGAAAGAAGCGGAGTTGATTGAAGGAGCATATCTTGATTTTGGATTTACTCTTTATAGGGTTCGCTTTGAAGTCATAGAGAAAAATGAGAATTCATGCATAACCAGGTCCACAATTGAGTATGAAGTGAAGGAAGAGGCTGTTGCTAATGCCTCCATGGTTACTATCGAGCTACTGCTGAAAACTATGGTAGTCGCAGCCAATTATCTCACCAAAAACAAAAAGTAAATTGTGATATGCACCTACTTCAAATTTGTCAGGCATTTAATATCAATGTATCATGTTTTGCATTTTTTTAATAAATTAAACTCTTTTTTTTTTTTCCTTAAATGTCTTAGCCTGTTTGTTGTTGTAAATAATAAGAGAGGCTGAAAGCTTTTTTGTTTTTTATTTTATGTTTTTTTGGTTTTTCATCAATAGAGTCAATTAAATCAACTTAGTCATGTGTAATTCTCATATCTTAAGACACAGTGATCATATATGATTGAAGTACACCATAATTTAAATATTTTATATCCGTATGGGGAACTAAAGCACAAAATTTAAATATTTTATATCCGTATAAACTGTGATATATATGCACCACCAACTTCAAATTTGAACCTCCTAAAAGTTAATTATGGTGGCCTTGTAAGTTCATGACCTATATATATCATATGTGTCAAGGATTTTAATAGGGACCTTTTTAAATGATATGTTTCAATTTATTTGACTGTCCACAGAGTCAAGAGTCAAGAGTTGAGCTTTCAAATAAGTTACTTTAAAATTAACTTTACAAAATAAGTTTCTGGTTTTTCACAGGAAGATGTTCATTTGTTGTTTCAGTTTGGAATGAGCTGTTTGCTAAACCGCATCTAAGTGTTGGCAGCTTTTCTTCTCTCAGTTCATTCATTGATTTGTTTACTCCAAATTCTACTGCTACGTCTCTGAGATCCAATTTTCTTATCTCTGTTTTTGCTAATACACACTGTAGATTCATTAGCACTATTTAATAATAACAATATCATGGAAAGTCGTACATTAACTTCACAAACCAAGTTAATTATGAATGAAATAAAGAACCGATTGACTTTGCACATTGTAGATACTAAAATTTTAGTGGGCTTTGGTTTTGACAAATAGACCCATTAAGTATGGGTTTAATGTTTAATTAAGTTATTTAATTAGACCAAGACTGGTTCACTTAAATTATTTAATTAGCCCAGCCTAGATGATTAAATGGAAAAATAATTATTCCTAATAAAATATATTTGGAATAATTATTTTTAAGGATAATTATCATAATATAACCGACCCGGCCCAGTTATGATATTTTCTTTATCAGAAAGGACACGTGTCATCATACTATAGATCCAAAAAGCCTATAAATAGAGGCCTTGAGGAAGGGAGAAGGGGAACAAAAATCTAGAGTCCAGAAATCCAGAGACTCAGAAATCTAGAAGGTCCAAAAATTGAGATAATCAGAAATCCAGAAGACCAGAAATCCCGAGAGCAAACCTGAAGGCGAAGAATACCAAGCACATCCAAAGTCGTGTTGTTCTTCACCAAATTCAACAAATTCTCTTTTCTCTGAAGACGAAGAACAACAAGCACATCCAAAGACGTGCCGTTCTTCCTCAAATTCAACAAAGGACACAAATTCAGAATTCAGAATTCAGACACAAATTCAGAATTCAGAATTCAGACACAAATTCAGAATTCAGAAGTTCAGAAACAAAGAACACAAATTCAGAGTCCAGAAATCCAAAGATTCATAATTCAGAAATCCAGAAACTCAGAAATCTAGGGACTCAGAAGTCAGAGACACAAATTCAGAATCCAAACTCAAAAGTGAAGAACATCAAGCACATCCAACAACATACCGTTCTTCATCAAATCCCATGATGATTAACAACAAGCACATCCAACGACGTGCCATTCTTCATCAAATTTCACGGTGATTCAAGAATAAACTCGTGCAGCCCTTGTATCCAACCAACAATAAAAAGGAGATCGAATCAGAGGACCATTCTTTTTGTAAAAGATATCACAAAGGATTGTACTCCAAATATGTATGATTTAATAAATTATTATTTTGCCTATATTTTGTCTTTATTGCAGAGTACAAAATTTGTGTGTACACACATTAATGATTCTAAGTATGGTGTTTAGTGGGTTTAGAACTAGAGAATGATATTCCATTTCAATTCTATAAGAATACTAATTATATAGTTGGTTTTGATAGCATCAAATCGGCAGTTTGGAGTTGAAATTGTAAAAAAATTAGCTAAAACTTTCAATTAAATTTCCTTCAATTACAATCCCAAGGAACGATATTCGATGCTCCCAAATATAGTAAACTGTAATTTCACGCTTCAGGACCACCCTATGAAATTTTAAGATCCTATACGACAAATAGGATATGGAGTTGGAATTGAAGAAAAGATAAAGCAAACATTTGATCCCTTGAAAGTGGTTGCTGGGATCAAAATCACTAGCATTTTATTTCATAGAAATGGTGGAGGCAATATGAGATGATAATGGGAACTTCATACAATTCATTACTCATTGATTTCATAGGAGTTGCAAACATCAACAATATAGTTAGTGTTGGGAGCTCTTATGATGCATTTGAAACTAACTAGTTAAGCCTCATTGAATCTAATATTGTACTATATGTTTATGGACTTGCTGTGCAATTTGCCCTATTCACAAGTAAATCAGAAGGGAGAAGAATTCTTCATTATTTTCATCTCTACTTCTCTACTCACCTTTCTTAGTCAATTTGAATACCAATTTGATTTAAGAAAAATAATAAAAATAATTATGAAGAGAGAGTAGTCTAAATTATATTTGTGTACTTGTAAGTATTCTAATTCTTGTTGCAATGTATTATATTATTATCTATTATTATAATAATATACAAGTCTACATTATGGTTCAATTTGATCCTAAATGACTTGGAACCCGAATTGTTTTAAGGTAGATTTTTAGAATAATGATTTGAAAGGATTATAACTCTCACAAATCACAGTTCTGAAAACTCTCTATATATTTTTTTAAAGGGTAAATTGCATTTAACCCCTTTTTACTTTCATCGTTTTTTTTTTTTTAAAAAAAAAAAAAAAAAAAAACCTCAACAAATCAAGGGGGTTCCTTTTTGAATTTTTGCCAAAAATACTCATACTAACCAAGTGTAAGAAGAGTCATTTATCCCACATCAGATCTGTATGCAGAATATTGTAGTATATGTTTATGGACTTGCTGTGCAATTTGCCCTATTCACAAGTAAATCAAGTGATTGAGTTTTTGGGTAAATAGGCGAACACCCACCCGTTACCGTTGGTATCAAAATCAAACCCAGTCCTTGATCTGGTGTCACGTCAAACGCCTGCCCTGGAGGGAGTCCAGGTTTGCAGCCCGAGTAGGCAGGGTGGCCCGAGCCGCAACGAAGGCGTTGCGAGTTTAGGTGGAGAAGAATATAACAAAGGTCATTTATCCTACATCGGATCCAGATAGAAAAGTGACTGTGTATAAATAGGGTAGGTATGCAGCATTACGTACCCAACAACTAAGGGTACACAAAAGAACCGTAGAATCGGAACTGGAACCGTGAGAATCGGAACCGAAATTCTGGTTCTCACAGTTCTGGTTCCGCAGCATTGCCCAACAACTAAAGGTGCACAAAAGAACCGTGGAACCGGAACCGAAATTCCGGTTCTCACGGTTCCGGTTCCGGTCTCACGGTTCGGTTCTGGAACTGGAACCGTAATATATATATATATATTATAGTTAATTATATTTTTTTTATTTTTAGCGCAAATCATTTCAGCGGCAGCCTCCCCAATCACCTCCATCTCTATTCTCTCGACTCTGAACTTGCCCTTTTTCTCTCTGCAACTGTAAACTACAAAATCTACAAGAATCAGAAGTTTAAAACCCATATATTTCAAATCTGTCTGCAAGAATCAAAAGTTCAAAACCCATATCGGCATATCATTTCAGATTGTTCAAAAAATCAAAACCCATATCTTTCAGTTTCCATCGCCTGTTGTTCCAGTTCGGGTTCACAAGTTTCAGCCGCTGTCTCTCAACTCTCAAGCTTGCTCCTCTATCTCTTTCTCTAACTACTAAACTTGCCCTCTCTCTCTCCAACTGTAAACTACAAAATCTACAAGAATCAGTAGTTCAAAACCTATATATTTCAAATCTGTCTACAAGAATCAAAAGTTCAAAACCCATATCGGCATATCATTTTAGATTTTTCAAAAAATCAAAACCCATATCTTTCAGTTTCCATCATCACTGTTCCAATTCGGGTTCACAAGCTTCAGTCGCTGTCTCTCAACTCATGGTTAACGGTGGTTTGGTTCTAATCTATACGGTTCCGGTTCCAACCGGAACCGTAAGGAACTGAACCGTGTGCACCTTACCAACAATTTGAATTTTTAAGTAAATGAACAAACGTCTACCCGTTACACAAAGTCAAGGGGAATTTTATGCAATTTGCTCTAATTCCAAAGACTTGTGAAGGGCAACTCATGGAATCTCTTCCATGAGTTGCGTAAGTTGTTACAAGAAAATTATCAGTACTCTTTGTGGGACTCGAATCTCAAACATGATACTCATGTCAAGCGTGTTGCTCGACCCAACCCATTGAAATTTAGATACCAATATTTGTAAAATTCCAAAGAAGGTCATACTTGTAATTTGAGATTAATTGCAAATATCCAAAAGAATTAATTTCACACATAAGACGGAACACTCACATTTAGTTTTTGGTTAGCATAACATCATTTTTATGTCTTCCCCCAAACCCCCCGATTTATTATCTATTTTTTTTTCCCTCTCTTTTGAGAGTGGTGAGGGTGAGGAAGTGTCTTTATTACGTGTGGACACGTGGAGAGCATAGAAGTGAAGTCTCTATTTTTTATTTTTTGTGGCTTATTTATTTGTTTAGTCCCTCATGGACAAAGTAAATCAGACACAGTGGCCTTTTGTGACTTACCACTTTGGCCTATAAATCGTGATGCCTTTGCAGGATTTTATTTCTTACTTTTCGATACTATGTTATATAAAAACAACTAGAAAAATCAGCCATTGCCCATTTGAATACAATTCTTATTTATTTTGGACTATTTCCAAGCAATAGTTGTTGGCTGCCTTTGATTTTAAATCCCATTAATTTTAGTTGAGATGAAACAATCCTCTCACCAAAGGTAGATTGGGATCCACATTTATAAATTTGAGATAAAAATAAATAAATAAATAAAATAGTGAAATAAGGTGCTTTATCTACTTCCCAGACAAAATCGTAATAAAATAACAAGAGTACCAGACAAAGAAGCTTTAGTGCACCCAAGAGTATTATTGATCTATGGAGGTGTTTGGATTGTGTTCGATAGTGATTTGGTATTGTAGTGATTTTGAACACTATAAATTTATGGAAGCCGCAGCCAATTTTCTCATAAGAAACAAAAAGTAAATTGTGATAGGCACCCGCCATTATCCATGTTATAAAACAAAATAAATTTCAATGCAGCTTGTTTGCTTTTTTCAATAAATTTAACTCTTTTTTTTTTTTTTCCTTATAAATATCTGAGTTTGTTTTGTTTAATTTATTTTTTTATTTTTTATTTTTTGTCATTATAGAAAGGCTGAAAGCTTTTAATTTAATTTAATTTTTTTCTGAATCTCATAGTAGAACTAATTGAGATACGTTCCTATTTCCGCTTCAAGAGTGACAACCATTGAAAGTGGACTTGCTCTCGGATTGACATCAAATTGCCCACGCTGTATCAACTGATTGTCCTTGGTTCCGGCCAGTTAAAGCATTAACGTACCCAAAATTTAGGGGCTCGATCAATTCTATGTTGGAGAATATGTACATAAATTATAGGACACTAAAAATTACACAACAAATTTTATTCATATATGAGTCATAACAATATTTTGTTATGGATAATACATCAATAAATAACAATATGAAATCACAACACTTTTATTAAAATAAATAATATATCAACTTAAACGGTATGAATATAATATGAATCATATAATTTTAATCTATTTAAATATCGTCATCAATAGAAATTAAAATAGAAAAATAGCCATAATAAAATAAGTAGAAAAAAATTAACATTGATGATGATGAGAGGCATGTAGTTATTTACCTAAAGTCGTATGGTCTCTTTATGCACAGGTGATAGCGCATGTAGTTATTGTCCTAAAGTTGTATGACCTTTCTATGTGTAGGTGATAACGATTCAATATAACTCCAAGATACAACCTATATAGTCTTCTCCAAAGGAGGCTAAAAAAGAGATAAATTTATACCAATGTCTAATTTACACAAAACTCAATATAAAAAAATACTCATATATATAATATTATCTCGAAGAAGAAAGATGCTCACAACCTCACACCACCCATAAGTGTCACACACCAACTGAGGTAGAAGACATTATATGTATTATATATATACAAACTTATAACTTGTAACGTTTTATACCATCGATATAGTATTAAAATAAAATGATGTAATGGTAAAAATAAATGAGTATTACTTTGTGGCCTTGTCCACCCACGATTTAAATAAATAAATAAATAAAGAGATTTGCCTTGCATGTGAGTTAACATACATGCAAAGATAGTTTCTGTTGGGAGAGTTTTCTTCTCCATGTTCACAGCTTTGTGTTGCGTCCTGCTTGGGCTTTCGTTATTTCTGTTGCTCCTTAGGAGCTGCCTTTGGGCTTGTATTTTGGTTAGCCTGGGCTAACTATGTTCCTTTCAAAGTTTATTAATAATAATATTTATTTACTTTTCAAAAAAAAAAAAGATAAGAGTGGATGACCACCTATTTTGATTTCTACTCTCTTTGGTTTTTTTTTAGCATATTATGACGTACATTTTAATTTTTTTTATGTCGTGTTTGACTTCAGAGAGCCTGATCCAAGGGATATTGACTTATTTGACAGAAAATAATAATAAAAAATAATAATCTGGTCAGCCGCCGCTTATTTTATTCACTTTATTCAGAAATTTTCCAGGATAATTTGTCCAAAATTCTGGTCGAGCACACCTTTATTGAAATATATATTATATATATTTCAATAACCTTGTCCTCAATCTCATGCATACAAACTAGGTCTTATGTGCATTTATAGTTCAAAACCTGAAGTGGTAAATATTAATTAATGTCCGTCTATATAATATACAGATACACATACTCTCTATATAAGACTTGGGATGAAGTAGTACAGAATACCCAACAAGCCAATATCACAACCCACCAAGAAGAGAAAAAATGTTTGGTACAGTTTCGGAAGAGATGGAAGTGAAAGTTTCAGCCACAGAAGCATGGAAAGTCTACGGAACGCTTCAGCTGGCAAAGCTTGTTGACAAAGAGCTCACTGATGTCGTTCACAAACTTGAGATTATACATGGTGATGGAGGCGTTGGCACAATTCTCAAAGTAACATTTCCACCAGGTATATATGTGTGTGTGTGTTTGTGTGTCCGATTGAATATATATATACATATATGTAGTATTATTTTACTGAAAAGACGTATGTTTTTTATTGAATTAGGGACGCCTTTGTCTTCTTACAAGGAGAAGTTTACAAAGATGGATGAAGAGAAGCGACTGAAAGAAGCAGAGGTGATTGAAGGAGGTTATCTTGATTTAGGGTTTACTCTGTATAGAAGTCGGTTTGAAGTGATAGAGAAAAGCAAGAATTCGTGTATAACCAAGGGCACAATTGAGTATGAAATCAAGGAAGAGGCAGCTGCTAATGCTTCAATTGTTAGTATCCAGACGATGGTGAAAGCTATGGAAATTGCAGCCAATTTTCTCACCAAAAACAAAAACTAAACTGTGATATGCATCCACCTTCAAAATTGTCAGTTTATAAGTGTTATAAAATAAATTTCGATGCAGCTTGTTTACTTCTTTTTTTTCGATAAATTAAACTTTCTTTTATATATATAAATTTTGTTGTTGTAACTAGAGATGGCTTTTTTAGTTGTTTTCATTTTTATATATCTGAGCAAAAATTCAAACTTAGACCAACCAGTATTGATGAACTATACGGTGAATTTTGAATAGCAAAATATTATAATTAGCCAAATTAGCACAATTGCTTATTGTAAATTTTGACTAGCAAAATACTATAACTAGCCAAATTAGCATAATTACCGACGCTATTAGCAAAATACTATAACTAGCCAAATTAGCATAATTACCGACGCGACTAGCAATACACATATACATTGCCGGCCGGTACATTATCACTAAACTGGCCCCTTATATACAGTATTTCTATAGAGACTAAGTTTGAAAGCAAGTGTTTGTTTATGCCCTCACGGTGCTAGCAGAGTTGGTGGGAGGGGGGACCTCCAAGTGCTAGACCACCAAATTTAGTATTTATTGAGTGTGGGTTCGATTCTCCTTAAGCGCTACAAGTTCCTAACTTACCTGTTACTCGTACTATGGAGCCGGGGTGGGTAGCAGGGAAATTATCAGATAGTTAGAAGTCCAAAAGAAGAGTAGTTACGAGGGTTTCCAAAAAAAAAGGGTGGGGTGTGTTTGTTTACATTGTTGTAGTTTCTCACGAGGGGGTGATGTTAATATTTTTTTCAACAAATATAATAAAATTCTTTTTTCCCATGTAAGCCAGATTGGGTCGTACCAGGTTAAATATAGTGTTTCTTTGTTTTGTTTGTGTAGTTTATTATTTGTTGTTTGAAATTCTATAACTATTTGTCACTTGCTTCCGTTGTGCCAAACGATGGTTTTGCTTACTGTAATTTTAGCCGAATGAAAGCCAAGATTGGTGTAGTTGGTTGAATGTTATATTCAATCTTGAATTAACCATTTTTCAGACCAAATAACTAACACAATACTCGGGAAGAAGCTTGAACTCAGCTCCCGTTTTGAATTAACTCTCAGTTTATCTATTTATACATTCGCTCTATCTTTTATTTTAGAATGTAAGAAAATATCATTAAACTAATTATGTTCATGTTGTTATTTTATTTAGGGTAAAGTACAAATAACCCCCTTGTACTATTGACAAATTGCAACTAACCCCCCTAAATTAAAAGAAAAACCCCTAAACTATGAATTTGTTGCATTTTAGTCCATTCCGATGACTGACTTAACCGGAAAAATAAAAAGTCTGAATTGCCCTTATGATTATTCACTACTGTATAAGGTATATAAATATATATGCGTTTATATATATATATATATATATATATATATATATATATATATATATATATATATATATTTCTGGTTTTAAACTGAATTTATATATATGTGTTTATATATATACATAACGTTGGAGATTGAAGAGAGAGAGAAGCATCAGGCTGGAGATTGAATCGTGAAGAAAATGAAGGAAAAAGATGGTGGCGGCGGCGGCGATTATGGTGACGGAAGAGGAGGTAAGTCGGCGATTATGGTGACAATGCGGAGTCGATGCGTCAAAACCCAAATCATCCTCGTCGCCGCTGGGATCTCGCTGCCATCATCTCCTGCGCCTGCCCCGCCACCGTCTCTTGCGGTGACAGCTGGAACGAGCTCGGATGGTGGAGAGGACCGGCGAGCAAGGTGGGCTGAACGGCGATGGGTTGGTTCGGCCATGGTTAACTCGCGGCGATGGGCTGGTTGCGGCTTAGCTGCACAGCGGCCGAGCTTCGCCTTATCCGCCAACCTCCCTGTTCCGATCGGGACGGTCACCCACTTCTCATTTTCATCAACCCCAAATTACTCCGCAATCATTCTCCACAAGTGCTTCCACTTGAACAAATCGTCGTTGCTGCAATTGAAAGCTTCGTTGCTTGCGTACGGATCCATCGCCACCCATACTAGTGCTCCGCTATCAGACCGGAATCTGACGCCACCGAGTAGCAGTTCCATGTCGCCTTCGTTCCCGAGGGAGAACCAGAGATTGTGTTTGAAGGGGGTGATGGCAGTGGGTTAGTGGGGGTTTGGTTTCACGGTGTGTGATGGGTTTGATGGAGAGAAGGTTGGGCTGTGGTTGGTGATGACGGGTGATGGTGGTGGCGGGATTGGGGTGGTGGCTGTGGGTTTGTGTACTGGTTCGATTGGGTTTGGTGGTGTGTCGTTGAGATGCCGATGGAGGTGGTAGTGATGGTGGTGGGTTTGATTTCGTTTAACGGTGTGTTTTGGCATGAGTTCAGGAGGATTTCGTGGTGGTTATGTTGGTGGTTGCGGACAGTGGTGGTGGTTATGTTGGTGGTTGCAGAAGGTGGTGGTGGTCGTAGATGACGGTGGTGGTGGTTATAGGATAATTTGGTATTTTCATATATAGAAGGGCATTATTGTCCAAAAAACTTAGTTTGTCTGTCGCGTGTGAATCACGCACTCATTTTTGGACTGCCGGTCACCGGATGGGGTGATCTGCAACTTTTTTGTATAGTTTGAGGGATTTTTTGCATTTTTGATAATTCAGGGGGTTAGTTGCAAATTTTTCTATAGTTCAGGGAGATTATTTGCACTTTACCCTTTTATTTATAAAATTAATTATAATGATACTTTCGAAGTTTGACTTATTGATAATCATATATTATAAGTTAATTTTTTTTTTAATAATAACATCCCTCAAATTTGATAAAGTTAACAAAAACACTCCTATGACAACTGACACATGACATATGATGAATTGACATTATTATCCTTTAACTTATAAATTAATTTATTTAAAATATAAAATTACCTTTTTAAGCTTCCATTCAATCTCAAACCCAAATAAACATGTATGCATTTCTATATCTATATACATATATATATATATAGATATTTTGTCCCGTCTGTTTTTTATTTGGACAAAAATAGCCTCAATACAATCTCTCTACTTATAAAAACAAATGGGTATTCAAGTAATTTCGTAAACAAATACCCACTAGGTCAGCGATTGTGGGCCTGTCTTCTCTTCTCTATCATGCAATTTATCTCTAAAATGCATTGCAGGGACCATGTCGCTACCGCCGCCGCCGGCGGAGATCAGATCTGGCCATCAAACCACCACATCTCCCCAACAAAACCCGCCACCACCATCCCGCCGCACAACCACCAACAGCAAACACATATTTCCTAAGGATTAAAAACCACCAACACCACCTCAATAGCTAAACACCGCCGCCACCCCATAGCTGATAACCACCGCCGCCACCCCATAGCTGATAACCACCGTCGTCATCCCCATAGCCGAAAAGCACCGCTACCATCCCCATAGCCGGCAATCTCCACGTGGGGGTGAGGCCCCTTCCGACAGCGCGTGAGGCCTCTTCCGGCAATGGGTTGGGGCCAAAAATGGGCGATTTGACTGCATAGTGCCATCCCCTTCCCTTCGACGATGACGATCTGAAACCTCCAGCGCCGAAAATTAACGCAATCCGAGACATTGATTGATCTCGATCTCCACAACATACGCACCTTATTACTTGTTTTCAACACCAACCAGACGATGATTTGCTCCGATTACTCTCAGGCGGCGGTTTCACACGTTGTTGACTGGATTGCAGAGTTCGTGAGAGATGACAGAGTTAGGGCCTTGGCAGAGGTGAGGCTGGTGGACACGTGTAAAAGCCACACGCTTTTAAAATTGCTAAAAGGGTAGTTTCGTTAATTAAAATAGTTGATATTTTAAAGGATTAAGTGTATTAAACTCCCTAAACTATTCACTCTATTGCAAGAAACCCCCTTAGAGCAGGTTCAATAGTGCAATTTCTGGCGATTCTAGGCCAATTTTGAAGAGTGGGCTGCTCCAATAGATTCTTTAAAAAATGGGCCCTATTAAAATAATTTTGATCGAAGTAGCCAAAAACCAAGATTGGTTTGGCGAATTGCGGGCCTGCATCAGGTTTCTTTTTTTTTTTTAATTCTGGTCCAAATAGTATTTTAGCCCAGAACACTATTTGGGAAGGCCTGTTTGGTTGGAAAAAAAAAAGAAAAAATTAGTTTTTTGGTTGAATTTGGTCTTTTTTTTTTTTTTTTTCCCTCAAAATAGTTGAACCAAAGAGCCGTTAAGGCACAGTTTGGCTGACACAAACAGTGCCTTAAAGGTTTTTTTGGGCAAAAAAAAGTTAAAAAAAAAAATTAATAAAAGTGTTTTTTTTTTAAAAAAAAAAATTTGCTTTTTAAAATATTCCTACTAACATATGGTCGTTTTAGGCACTATTTGGCTGACTCAAACAGTGCCTTAACGGCTATATTGGCACAAAAACCTATTTTTGAATTTTTTTTTTGAAAAAATTCATTATATATATATATATTATTTTTTTTATTTATAAAAAAAAACCTTTCATTTTTCCTCTATAAATACATCAACCCTTACTATTATTCACTTCATATCCAATCCATCTTATCTAGTTTTCGACCTACAACTATAATCACTAAGTTATTTTCTCAATCTTTTAGTTATATTTTTTACTCAAGTTTAATTCCATGGATCCTCCGCCACTATATTACAACTACAATTCACAATTCAACCAATCAAATGATAATTTTGATCCTTCTTATTTGTTGGAGAAGAATCTCAATTTGTTGGAGATGAATCTCAATTTCCGTCTCATCAACCGTCTCAAGTTTCCAACATTCCTACTAAAGTGCCACAATCCAGTAATTCCCAGCTTCCCAGAAAGCAAAGGGCTATTCGGCCTCCTAATTGGTCCACGGTTAAAGATGAGACTTTATGTTTTGCGTGGATGACCATTAACACTGATGCGGTCATCGGTTTAGACCAACAAAAGGCAGCGTTATGGATCCGAATTCAAGAAAGTTTTGAGCAACACGTTAGTGGTGCTGGTACACCTAAAAGAGATCATATCGCCTGCTTGAATCGTTAATCCATCATGTAACAAATGATTACCAAATTTTCTGGATGCATGACCTAGATCGAAAGGAATTACCCCAGTGGGCAAGACAATGAGCACAAAGTAAGTTATTTATTATATTAAATTTAATTGGTAGATATTTTAAAGATTTGTCTTCTAATAATTATTGATTTTTATTTTTTTAGATGATAGCAGCGAAAGAGTTGTTTGCTCGTCAAAATAACACCAAATTTAAGTTTGACAGTTGTTGGAACATTTTAAAGAGCAACAATAAGTAGCATTTACATTATCAAAAAGAATTGACATCCAAAAAAAAAAAAAAAAACAGCAAAAGAGGAGGAGTGGAATCCACATTGATGATAGTGAGCCTATTGGTCACTCAAACCCATCTACTCCATCAAGTAATGCAGCAACAACACCAAATTCGGTTGAAGGATCGACGCACATAGACGAAAATGATCCGACGAATTTTGAAGAATGTCAGGGACCAGAAGGACGAAAAGCAGCGAAGCTGAGGCGAAATAAGGATAAAAGACAATTTGAAAGTTAGAATGATTTCATTAGCAAATTTGATCATGCAACAGCCCTTTATCAAAGACAACCTAAAACTCTTGAGGCAGCTCAAATAGCACGAGAGGCACGCAAAGCAGATAAAGAAAAAACCAGACAACTCGAGCTTCAAAGCAAACTAAGAGAGATTGAAAACAAACAAAGAGCTGAAGAGATGTTAATCTTGCAAAAAGATCCAGAATCGATGCCAACACAAGCCGGGAAAGCATGGTCAAGCATTACATATGATTGTTCTGTTTTTTCTAATTGTTTTATGTTTTTAATTCAAGTCGTATTGTATTGTTTTTTTTATTTTTATTGTATTGTTTAAGTTTATGTTGTATCGTATTGTTTTTAATAATAAATATTCTATTGTTTAAATTTTTTTTTATTTTTTATGATATAGCCGTTTTAAAAATATAGCTGTTAGGAAAAAGTTAAAAAATAAAATTTATTGAAAATTTAAAAAATATTAAAATATTAATATTTTTGGAGAGCGAAAATGCACCATTGGAGTACATCTGATAGCTAAATTTTGGAGATTCTAAAATGCTAACGTAGCTATGGGAAATGCTGACGTGGCTATAGGAAAATACTGATGTGGCAAATTCGGAGAGTTCATTGGAGATGCCTTTAAGCTATAAAAGTTGCAAAAAAACACCTTAAACTATCATTTCTATTGCAGATTGCTCCATCCGGTACAATATTGCGGTCAAAAATATCACATGCTGTCACATGACACAAATTTTGAAATTTTATGACAATAGTGCCCTTTAAAATATGAAAAGACAATAAGGCCCTTCTTTGTTACGGTTACACAACCCAAGCACGTCTTATGTCCAACTGTCACTATTCATCTTTTTCAAGGTGCACACAGTGCTCCAACTTCAAAAACCAAACATATGAGGCTGGTTAGGCAAAGAAACTTGCTCGCCACACATGGAGAATTCTATGACGACATGTTCTATATATATTTTTTCTAACTCTGTTGTGAATGTTACATTGCATCTATAACACATTGAATTCTCCAGATCGAATTCTAAAAAGTCAAAAAATAACGGGAGAAAGAGATTTATTTGATATATAATAGGAAGTCATACATATTTATAAATATATATACACACGTATATGCATATATGGGATTTAGCGAAGTTTCATTTATTGATTTTTGATTAGCAGGTTTCCATTAAAAGTTTCGCACGAAACAAACATGGTAAGTCAAAAAGATACACCCACGTGTGTGTATATATATATATATCGTGAGTACAAAAACTTCTCTCTTATATACATATAAGCATAAGAAAATTCCCAATTCTTTAGAACCCATCAGAAAATTCCAAAATTGCTTCCCCAGATCAAACTCACTCTTCTTAGAAGAAGATGATCATGTGACTGAAAAGGTTGATTCATACCAAGAGAGTGGATTTGAAAAGGTTGATTGAGAGTATGGATTTGAAAAGGTTCCAAGTGGATGATAAGAGATCGTGTACACAACAACAAATAAATACACGCATGTCCTCCTTTTGCTCATCAGCCTTATCAATGACATAAAAGATGATGATCATCTCAAAAGTGTTGCCCCTGTGATGTTTTTCTTCTATTTCGTCTGCTATACTATGGATGCCTGTAGTCTCTTCTCTTTGTCTCCCTTAAAACTTTCCTTTTTCTGTGTAATTGTGCTTCTTATGGTTTGGGTTGTGTTTGGTGAACGGCGTAGAAGTACAATAGATTTTTTTTTCTCTCTTTTTAACCAAAGGCCGAGACGAATTAAAGGTGTCAGTTTAAAATGACGTCCTATTTTAAAAGGGTGCGCTGGTCTTTTCCGTTTTCCGGCATCTAAAGCTGCCGTGATTGGATTAAATGCAAAGAAAACATAGTTTAAGGAGGTTTGTTTTAGATTAAGGGAGTTTCTTGCAATTTGATTATAGTTTAGGGGGGTTTAATGCATTTAATCCTATTTTAAATGAAAAATTAATATTTTTATTGGAGGGCAAACAAGACATTTTACTCTATTTTAGGCTGTGTTTGGATCCATATTTGACCAGGGGGTGTCATTGTTAAAAAAAAAATGCTAACTTACATATGGCTGTCAATTGACCAAATCTCAAGGGATATCATTGTAATTAACCCTTATTTATATTAAAAGGGTGAAGTGCAAATCCTTGTGATTTCAAAAGTGTGCAAATAATACTCTTCGGTAATCAAATTCCACTTTTGTAGCTTGTAAAGTGAGCAAACAAGTGCTTCTGACATAAATAAAAAAATGATATGTGCGTGTCGTGTGATCAAAAAAAACCTCCTTAATACCAATTATGCCCTTTTGAACTTTCCAAATTGCCCCACACTCATTTTTATATATAATACCACTATTTCATTATTTCTCTCTCTATAAATACTACATCTATATTTAATATATTTTCTCTCTCTCTCTCTCTCTATATATATATATAATTTCTCTTTATAAATTTTTGTTTTTATTTATTCTCGCTATAATTTAATTCTCTTTGTGCAAGGACTCTTTCCATATTTTATTAAGGACAATAATACTCTAGTCCTGCCCTAAAATTTGTCTTCTAAGCGTAAGTGGACCAATCGACTTTTGTTCAAAACAAAACCAAAAAAAAAAAAGGGAAAATTATATTTTGATGACTAAAATTAAACATAATTGCTATATAGTGACCTTAAAGTCAAAAAAAGGTGAATAGTGACCAATTTTAAAACTTAATTGATATTAAGTGACCATTTGATGGTTTATTACCTAAATAGCCTTCTTATAATATATTATTATGTAAGTAGACAAATTTACTCTTTACATTAACCTAAATAAACACTTACTTAAATTGACTAACAAAAAGATAACAGATTATTAGGTGAGTCTCTGAAGAGAAGATCAAGATGAGAGAAAACTGATGATGGATATTATACATCATTTTCTTCAAGATTATAAGAGACCGAGAAAATTGTAAATTTTCTTCTTATTCATTATTTTCAAGGTATAATTATTATACTTTACGAGTTGATTTGTCTGAGAGATCTTCTTTAAGATATAAGATTGTAATTTTTAGGAATTTTTAATACTACTTAGTTATAGTTCAAGAAAGAATGGCTATTGTTGATTAATTTCATAATTTTACTAACTGTTAAAGGGTGTTTCAAAAGTATGATTTGCCACTGTAAATGTTATGAGCATTCATGTTGGAGAACCTTGAAAAATAAATAAAGGATGAAAAAGAGATAATGTTGATAAAGAAATTTTAATTTTTTAAATTGGTAAATTGTAAACTAAAAAGGAAAATATTAGATGGTTGAAAGCCTTGAAAAATAGATAAAGGGTGAAAAAAAGATAATGTTGGTAAAAAAATCTTAATTTTTTAAATTGGTAAATTATAAACTGAAAAGGAAAAAAAGAAAACGTTGGATTAGAGAGAGAGAGTAGGAGGAGGATGAATTTAATGACTTATTATTTATATTGGATGTCAATTTTGTCATCTAAAATTTATTTTTAAAATGTTTATTAAACTTTTAAGTATTTTTGACCAAATTATCCTTAAATGGTTACTTAATATCAATTAAGTTTCAAGATGGGTCACTATTCACCTTTTCTTGACTTTAAGATCACTATATAGCAATTATGTTTAATTTTGATCACCAAAATATAATTTTTCCAAAAAAAAAAAAAAATTTAAACGGATTAGAAACTTAAGAATTCAGACCCATCCGAATCCAAAATCTCAAACATTCTTCTCTCACTACTCTTTCTATATAGCGAACCATCACCACCACATTCTCTCACTACTCTCTCTCTCTCTCTCTATATATATAATATATATATATATCAAAAGTATTTGAATTGAACCAAAAACAGAGAATCCAAAAGCTACCAAGCAGAGAATCCAAAAACTAAACAAATAGAAATCACATAAAAGCTTTTGAATTGAACCAAAACCTCAAAACACCAAATCCCTAAAATTCCAGAGCTATACAATTCAATCAGAATGGATTATTTAGATCCAAGAAAGAGACATTGTGTGACTTACCCATGATAACGACGGCACCAATAGCACTTTTTCAGTTGGAAAACTAAGTTGTAGAGAGATAGGATCAGAGCTTAGGGGTTTACAGATCTGTTGTATCTGAATGATAAAACAAACGGTGTAGCTTACCAACATGGCCTTTGAAGTAATTTCCAATTCTAAATCTTTTTTATTATTTTTGTTATGAGAAATGTGGAGGGTATTTTAATCTTTTTGCTTATCTGCTATTATTTAGGTGACACAATAAGTCCTTATTTTCTTCACTTTATTCAGAAATTTTCCAGGATAATTTGTCCAAAATTCTGGTCAAGCACGCCTTGTCCTGATGCATACAGACTATGTCTATGTGCATTGTTCAAAACCAAGAAGTCCCCGTGCGTAAAACTGTAAATATTAATTAATGTCCGTCTATATAATATATAAATACACACACTCTCTATATATATCACTTGGGATGAACAAGGTAGGCAGTACAGAACACCCAACAAGAAGAGAAAAATGTTTGGTACAGTTTCAGAAGAGATGGAAGTGAAAGTTTCAGCCACAGAAGCATGGAAACTCTACGGAACGCTTCAGCTAGCAAAGCTTATTGAAGAAGAGCTCACTGATGTCATTCACAAACTTGAGATTCATGGTGATGGAGGTGTTGGCACAATTCTCAACATAACATTTCCACCAGGTATACATTTGTCCAATTGAATACATACATACATATATATCTATATATATATATATATATATATATATATATAATTGTATTAGTATTATTATTACACGAGTGAAATGCTCAAACTGAATACAGATTTAATATTTTGTATATTTTTATTGAATTAGGGACGCCGTTTTTTTCTTCTTACAAGGAGAAGTTTACAAAGATGGACCATGAGAAGCGAGTGAAAGAAGCAGAGGTGATTGAAGGAGGTTATCTTGATTTAGGGTTTACTCTGTATAGAGGTCGCTTTGAAGTGATAGAGAAAAGTGAGAATACGTGCATAACCAAGACCACAATTGAGTATGAAATCAAGGAAGAGGCTGCTGCTAATGCTTCAATTGTTAGTATCCAGCCGATGGTGAAAATTATGGAAGTTGCAGCCAATTATTTCATCAAAAACAAAAAGTAATTTATGATTTGTATTCACCTTCAAAACTGTCATCGGCTTATAAATGTTATCAAATAAATTTCATGTAGCTTGTTAAATTTGCTTTTTTCAATAAATTAAACTCTTTTTTTCATAAATTTTTTTTTGTTGTAATTAGAGAAGGGTTTTTTTTTTTTTTTTTTTTTTTTTCACTTTTCTAAATTTAAGTAGAACTAAAATTGAGTAACGTTTGTGTGTGTGTGTGTGTGTCTGTGTGTGTATTTTTAAAGAGACTGAAACTCTTACCTTTCATTTTAAAAGGTAAGAAATACGCTACTAAACAGTCTAGACTGTAGCTCATTTAAAAATTGAGTATAATTGAATAATGTTTCTTTTATTATTGTTTTTATCGGCTTTCAATTCCTTGGGAGTAATTATTGAGGCGCTGAAAAGTATAAACAAATATGCGAGTATACTCGGCTATCATGATTCGTGACAACCACCAAATAGTCAAGTGCTTATCCAAGGTTCAACAACCTCCAATAAAATTAATGATAATCATGTTATTTCATACCTAACATCTTTGAATGGGACCGCAGACCTAAGGAAAATCAATTAAACCCTAACAAGGGTTTTATTTCCTTTCAACATGGTGTTTTAGGGTTCTCGATTTAAAGTATTCATCTAACCATACTGAGTTGTAGAAACATGAAATCGAAATTGAAATAAAGCATATTTAGCCAATTTAAAATGTAAAATCATATTTAAGCTGTTGGGTTAGACCTAAAATATTAGTACTAAAGACTTTTCTATCTTAATTTAGATACGTTTCAATGAGTTAGACCCGCGTTTATCAATTAAACATATCTACAGAATAAAAATCATTGACCTAGTGTTTTAAGTCACTTATTTGACTAACTAGTAAGTACTAACAATATGTTTGGATGCTACTGTTTAATTATATGTTGACAAAATGACAAGTATAAATATATGCAATAATTATTTTAAAAAATAAATATATGCAATAATTAAATTATCAAATCAATAAATAAAGAATCTTTATATAACGAGCCCTTAAGATAAATTTCGTCTCGTTTAGTACTGAACGAACTTAATAGTATTTGTCTTGCAAGATATAACGATGTTACTTTCACGGGTAATTGCAGTTCAAACTAATGAAAACGGCGAACCAACCTTTGTGTTATACTCTCTGAGATTCGAACTCAAACTCAATGCAGAACTTTAGGGAATGGAAGAAAGAGATAAAATGGAAATGAAATGTATGATTCAAATGGCTGCTCAAATTAGTATATAGCACCTGTTCGGAAGAGGCACGTCCCATCTCAACGGTGGCAACATTTCAGAATTGGAAAGATTTAAAAATTTTGGACCAGGCCGAAGCCGAATAGGCCCAATCTTCCAACCTACTTTCCTCTTCTAACCATGATCATAGATTCATATGGACTAATTTGGATCCAATTTCTCATTCACCCGAACTTTCAAACACCTATTAGCTTACTTGTCAAAACCCACGTGCCAGCAGCCTCTAATTTTTCCAGGACAAATTGTCAATAATTCTGGCAGCGCGTCTTGTCCTCATGCATGCAAAGTATATCTATGTGTATTATTTACTGTCTATCTACACACACATTCTATATATATATATATATGACTTGGGATGAACAAGGTTAGTAGTACAGAATACCAAAACAAGCATATCACAACCCACCAGGAAGAGATTAGAAAAATGTTTGGTGCAGTTTCAGAAGAGATTGAAGTGAAAGTTTCAGCCACAGAAGCATGGCAACTCTACGGAACGCTTCGGCTAGCAAAGCTCCTTGAAGAAGAACTCACTGATGACATTCACAAAGTTGAGATTATACATGGTGATGGAGACGTGGGCACAATTGTCAAACTAACATTTCCACCAGGTATATATATATGTGTGTGTGTGAGATTCGATATATATAATTTATTTTTTCATACTGAAAACAGATTTAACATTTTGTATGTTTATTATTTGTTTATAGAATTAGGAACGTCGGATTTTTCTTATTACAAGGAGAAAATTACAAAGATTGATGATGAGAAGCGAGTGAAAGAAGCGGAAGCGATTGAAGGAGTTTATATTGATGTAGGATTTAGTCTGTTTAGGGTTCGGTTTGAAGTGACAGAGAAAAGTGAGAATTCATGCATAACAAAGACTACAATTGAGTACGAAATCAAGGAAGAGGCTTCTGCTAATACTTCACTTGTTAGTATTGAGCCAATGGTGAAACTTATGGAAGTCGCAGCCAATTATCTCGTCAAAAATAAAAAATAAATTGTGATACGCATTTATCAATGTTATAAAATAAATTGAAATGTGTCTGTTTGCTTTTATCTATAAACTCTTTTTCTTTCCTTTTCTTTTTTTTAAAAAATTTGTTGTTGTAATTATAGAAAGTCTGGAAGCTATTTTTTTTTTTTTTTTTTGGGTGTTTTTTCGCTTTTCTAAATCTAAGTAGAACTAAAATTGAGTAATGCATGTTATTATATAATCCTGTCAAAAATTCACAGCACATATGATTATAATGGTTACATCTGATCTTCAGATGAGGTGATTGGGCCTGGGTTAAGTTTGGGCCCTTCTAGCCTCGCTTTCTCCAGCAAAAACTGAATGACACTGGTAATTTTTACTTTCAATAATATAATTTGTTTAGCTTTCCACACATCCGAAAAAAATAAAAATAAAAATAAAACGACCAATCTCTCACCTTTCCAAAAGTAAAGAAGAAACAATTGAGTAATATATATATATATATATATATATATATATATATATATATATTTTGAATGGTAAACAATTGAGTAATTCAATGGCAGAAAAGTAAGACTAATATGCGTGTCAAATCGGCTCTCACCAAAGTCAAACGTCTGAACAATGTTCAACAGCAATCATGTATTATCCTTTATAAATTGAAGAAAAAAATCAGTGACTGATTCAAGATTTTGATCCAAATTCAATCCCGTTATTTAAATATGAATTGAAGAAAAAAAGTTCATAATATGATAATGATACAAATTTAATAATTAGTTATTTTACTATATTAAATATGCATTATAAATAATTCAATCTGATTATACTATTTTATATTTATATATATATATATATATATATATATATATTAATTAATTAATTACTATTATATTTATTTAGTTACATAGTTTATATTATGTACCATCATATATATTAACAATTTTTCATTTCATCTGAATATAATTTTAATTTGAATCCTCCTAATTAAATAAGAAACAGATTGGAGCATTCAATTTGGTAATTGGTTAACAATTCCAATATAATAATATGTTAGCTTAATACATTGATGAGTAATGCGATTGCCGGAGTGCTCTCGCACTATTCTTTTTTTAGGGATTTGGGAGAAAGAATTAATTAAAAAAGAATTATTTGTAATAAGGAAACAAATAATTCTTTTTTCTCTCTCTTCTCTCCATGTTCTCTCTCTTGATTAATACCCTCAATCAATCCGTCTCTTTTTCTTTCTTAGTTAACCCTCAATCATTCTTAGTTATTTCTCGCCACATTACATCATTCATCCCATTATTGAAAGATTTGATATTGTAAAGCTTGAAGGTTTGACTTTGGCCCATTTTTTCTCTGCCGATCTCATTACTATAATGAACTTGAGACTATTATGTGTATTTATAATGCATACCCTAGGTACTTTATGATTTTAGAGCTTCCAACAAATAGCAGTTCAAACTCAAGGTCTTATTTCTCACTGTACGGTTGAACTAGAGTAGAGTTGTTGCTTTCTCTACAAACAAAATTGAAAAACAGTTTCATAACTCCTCTAATTTGATTTTTATGAAAGGCTTTGGATTCTTTACCTCAAGGTTTGGATTCTTCATCCTTTCATTTCGTTCTTAAAGTTCGAAATACAATTGAATAAGTTAAGAAAAAGGTTATAATATCAAATCTTTCAATAATGGATTAACCAAGAGAGAGAAAGAGACAGATTGGTTGAGGGTATTAATCAAGAGAGAGAAAGCGAGAACTTGGAGAGAAGAGAGAGAGAAAAAAAAATGATTATTTGTTTCCTTATTACAAAATATTCTTCCTTAATTAATTCTTTCCCAAATCCCTAAAAAAGGAATCATATAGGTTTTTTGTGAGAGCTCTTTAGACTTTTTGCAGAGCGCTCTCACAATAGCATTACTCTAAATTGAATATGAATTTGATCAGGGCACTCCTAACTTTTTAATTTCCTTTTTGAATCGTACTTTAATTTTTTTCCTTTCAAATATATCTCAATTTTTTTTCTTTTTTTCTTCTTAATTTATTTTTTTTTATATTTTTTTTATTATTTTTTTTTTTGGAAAAATGTTCAATTAAATAAAATTCTTCTAGCCTCGCTTTCTCCAGCAAAAGCTGAATGACACTGTACTTTTTACTTTCTATAGCATAATTTTTTTTTAGCTTTCCACACATCCAAAATAATAATAATAAAAAAAAAACGACCGATCTCTCACCTTTCCAAAAGTAAAGAAGAAACAATTGAGTAATATTTTTTTTTCTTTTTTCTTTTTTGGAATTGTAAACAATTGAGTAATTTAATGCTGAAAAGTAAGACTAATATGCGTGTCAAATCGGCTGTCACCAAAGTCAAACGTCTAACCGATGTTCAACAGCAGCCAAGAAAATAAAGGATAATCATGTATTATCCTTCATAAATTGAAGAAAAAAATCAGTGAATGGTTCAAGATCCCGTTATTTAAATATGAATTGAAGAAAAAAAAGTTCATAATATGATAATTAAAGATACAAATTTAATAATTAGTTATTTTACTAAATTGAATATGGATTATATATAATTCAATTTGATATATATGAATATTAGTTATCTACTATTAAATATATATATATATATATATATATATATAAAAATTATTTATTATTATATTTATTTGGTTACATAGTTTATATTATCTATTATCATATATATTAACAATTTTTCATGTCATCTAGTTCCTGAATATAATTTTAATTTGAATTCTCGTAACTAAATAGGAAATGAATTGAAACATTTGATTCGATAATTCATTAACAATTCGAATCTAATAATATGTTAGTTTAATAAATTGAATATGAATTTGATCAGGAACACCATAACTTTTTAATTTCCTTTTTGAATCGTACTGTAATTTTTCCCTTTTTAATTATATCTCAATTTTCTTTTTAAAATTCTTTTTTTTTTTCTTTTTCAAAAAAATGTTCAATTAAATAAAATTCTTTTTTTTTTTTTGTGTGTTATATCAATGTTAGTTGAGTTTTTTTATTTTTTATTTTTTAAATGTACCCCTTTGAATTGAAATCGCATTTCCGTCCCTGAATTTAATTGAATTCGATCCGTTGAGCTATTCACAGAGAATACTAAAAAATATTATAAATTTTTTAATCCATCCTTATTACTCTTTATAATATACTGGTAGTTTTTTATAGAGGCAGGTCATAGTACCCTTCATATATTAAATCCTCCCGGTGTGTTTGTGTGTGTTTTTTTTGTTTTGTTTTTTTTTTTTTCTTTTCAAAACTACAAGATGTTTGTGCGCTGTGAATCATGATTATGTTAGGAATTCCTTATTCAAGTACTTGAAGATAAGATTCACATAGATTGACCATGGTGTGAAGCCACTGGAGTTGAATGAGATTCGGCTAAAGCTCGATTATTTCTTTTTAAAAGACTTAGTCAAGCCAAATGTGATTTTAATTTTTATAACGAATTTAAATTCAGTCGAAATCATTAGGACTCTCAATACGAAGAATTAATTAGAAAAATTAGTCGATATCATTACGACTCTCAATACAGATAATTAACTAAATTTTCTGGTCAAGCACACCTCGTCTGACAAGTCGTCAAAATTTGTGGTCGTTAAAAATTCGTCAAAATTTGTGGTCGTTAACAATTTGTCAAAAGTTGTGACCCAGGTCCACATGCTTAGAAACCATGTCACCATGTGACCGTGTCTATGTCATAGTTCCACAAAACTCTAAATATTAATGTCTGTGTCTATATATTAATATATACACACAAAGTCTATATATATATGACTTGGGATGAACAAGGTAGGTACTGCAGAATACACAAAAGGCAAAATCACTACCCACCAACAAGAGAAAAAAATGTTTGGTTCGGTTTCAGAAGAAATTGAGGTTCAAGTTTCAGCCAATGAAGCATGGCAAATCTACGGAACGCTTCGGCTGCTAAAAATCGTTCAAGAAGAACTCTCTGATTTCATTCACAAAGTTGAGATTGTAGAAGGCGATGGAAGTGTTGGCACAGTTATCGAAATAACATTTCCACCGGGTATACTTACAAACATTCATATATATATATATATATATATACATATATATATATATATATACATATATATATACATATATATATATATATATATACATATACCTTAATTTGTTTAATTTGTTTAAATTTATGAAATGCGCTTACTAAAATTACAATTCTCAGCCACTAAATTTTTTTTTTTTTTTTTGGCCTTTTGTACTTTATATTTTTAAAAATTTATAAAAAAAATTCCATTGAAATTATAAAAATATAATCACTTTATAAATTTGCCCCCACAAATTAAAAGGTCACCCCACTTATAAAATTTTCTGGATCCGTCACTGCAGACACTACACGATTATTAATAATGTTTAAGATCCTTGAAACTAACACGATATTATTATTACACGCGTAACACGACACGAATACGATATAATTATTACACGCGTAATACAGCACGACACGAACACGACACAATTATGAATCAAGATTTGATACGATATGAAAAGACACGTTTAAATCATTTTTTACACAAATACGGCATGTTTATTATATACGTTTAGATAAATAGGTTATTTTTTTTTACACGAACACCACACGTTTAGCTAATCGTGTTTACAAGGTTAAACACGAACACGATACATTTAGTTAGCAGATCAATTTGTATCGACACGGCAATTAGCCCAAACCCAAATCCTCTTATCTCATGTCGTGTCAAATATTGTCACCCCTAAAATTTTCTCTTTATATTATCTAACATTTTTGTATGTTTTTGATTGAATTAGGGACACCGGGTTTTACGTCTTACAGGGAAAAGTTTACCAAGATTGATAATGAGAATCGAGTGAAAGAAGCTACGGCGACCGAAGGAGGTTATCTGAATTTAGGGTTTACTCTGTATAGAGGTCGGTTTGAAGTGATAGAGAAGAGCGAGAATTCGTGCATAACCAAGTGCACAGTTGAGTATGAAATCAAGGAAGAGGCTGCTGCTAATGTTTCAATGATTAGTACCGAGGCACTGATGAAAGTTATGGAAGCCGTAGCCAATTATCTCGTCAAAAACAAAAAGTAAATTGTGATATGCATTCCACCTTCAAATTTGTCAGCTATTTGGTTTATCAATGTTATAAAATAAATTGCAATGTAGCCTGTTTGCTATTATCAATAAATTAAACCTTTTTTTGTCATAAATTTTGTTACTGTTACAGAAAGGCTTAAAGTTTTTTTTATTTTTTTATTTTATCAGACTCACTGGTCTCCAAAGAGATGGTGTCAAAAATATTAGAAAGTTTCTCATCCTTCCGAATACTCTTTATAAGTTACTGTTGATTTTTGTAGGGGCAGGTCATGGTAAACCCTTCTACTTCCTTTGGAAAGAAAAGAAATGGATTCAATGGATTTGGAAAGAAAAGAAATGGATTCAATGGATTTGGAAAGAAAAGAAATGGATTCAATGATTTGAAGGGATTTGGAAAGAAAATAAATGAAAGAATAGTGTGAAGTGTGTTTGGTTTATCCTAAATGGAAAGAAAGAAATGATAGGGAGAGATTTGGTTTTAAGTAGTTTCATTAAACTAGTGTCAACCATGTCCATGAAATCCCTGATTCGTTATCCTCCCATAAATGGAAAGATTTGGAAAGAAAGAATGGTTAAGTAATACTTTTATAATTTCAAAATTATCCTTAACAATTAAAAGAACAAACTTTTCATGACACTTGATTCACATCATATAAAAGGTAATGATTGTAATTGGGTTGTTAGCTTTTTTTTTATTTTCTAAACTCAGACCTTTTCCAAATAAAAATACTATCATTTTATTTCATTTCCTTTATAATTTATTCAAATATGAATAAAGATTACAGTACCCTCTCTAAATTTTTGCCTCTCGATTTTTGTTCTCTAAAAATAATAATTTTTTAATAATAATTTTTTTTATTTTTTTTACCATTTATATATATATATATATATAAGTTTATAAGAATTGTTATATGAAAACAAAGTTTAAAAAAAAAATTAAAAATTTGAGTTTCAAACAAACAAAGAAAAAATCATTATTTATTTACTGACTTTAAATAATAATAATAATCATAATAATAATAAAAGACGAGATGAGAAGGGATGGGGGGGGGGGGGGCAAAAAGTCAAAAAAAAAAAAAGGTTTTGGAAAGTGATATAGGACCATCGCCCAAAATTCCATTGTCTTGGACCGTTGATCTATTGGGTCAAATACCACTAGCACTATAAAGAGCCTCCTACTGGCCCCACTATCAGGCGAGGTAACTGTGGCCCAAAACTCCTCCTTTCTCACCAAAAAAGCCCTAGTGCAGACGGCCTAAAGAATGCGACTATTCTATTCGTTATTTTCTCTAGTGTTTAACATAGAAAATGATAAGGGAGAAAAAGAAAATCAAATTAATTGTCCTTTTAATTTTAATATAGAAGCAACATGGAATCTTATGCCTGCGCAAAATAATACCCTTCACAAGTGTGAGAAAATGAGTACAGTGGAAAATAATTTTGTTATCTCATTCCTAATATCTTTGTATGGGAACTGCAGCAATTTTAATTATATAAGGTTTTCTTCGGACAAATCCCTAGAAATTACACATAATCGCCATAAATCACGACCATCAAATAAACCTAAAGAGATTGATTAATTTTCCCCTTTCAACAGGCATTTTAGGGTTCTAGTTTAAAGAGTGCATGATAACTCCTGCCCTCGGACTAGAAGATGAAAGCTTGGTTTTTCTTCTGGAAGGAAAGCAGAAGTTTTAGTGGTGAAAGATTACGATAGGAGGAATAACATCATCTAACCATATTGGATGCCAAAACATGAAATCAAAATTAAGAACTTGAGTAAAGCATATTTAGATATTGTGCCTCACTAATATGGCCATTTTGTAATGTGTATATGCACCATTCGGTCCCTTGTCTCGGCATTTCTCGTACAGTGGGGCACTCTCACAAGCAGCACGAAGGATAATAAAATACAATGACAAACACCCTGACACGAGAAAAATTAATTTGTGCTTTTCTTACTCTAAAAAAAAAAAAACGAAAGAAAAGAGTACACATCCTGTAACTTCTCTTGTAAAGAGAAATTAGGCACATCAAGATAATACTTTGATATAGAACATTCAATGTGCTACATAAGACATTGTTCAATGGCTTGAAGGTATACTTGGAAGGACATAGGAAGGAAGAACAGGAAGAGAAGAAAAGAAGATAATAAATACATTAATATTAGGTCAGACGAAGGAAGATGGGGAAGAGAAGAAAAGGAGATAAATACATTAATATTATGATATTTGGCCTAATTTCTTTCATAACAACATCTGACTAATATAAAAACATTAAACAAACTGGCATCCAGTACCTTCAGAGGAGAGGATTCTCTTGCTTTGAGTTGTAGTTACAACGCAACAGGTGTCTTTACCTTTGAGCCATCTATGGTCCCCCTCCTTGTTCCTCCATAGCCTTGCGGCCACCGATTTAAACCCACTCCTCACATAAGCCACCACAAGCGCCAAAAGCTCTCTGCAGAACAGAAAACTGATAGGATTTACCATCATCATTCATAAGCATTAAGCACAAACCTAACACGGTGAGCATCCCTTGCAGTCACAAGGAATCTCATCGTGTCATATTCAAACGAGTTTATCAATTCCCCACAGAACCATATGGATGCCGCAAAACTTAATTCAACTATCACTAATATGATCTTTTACGCATCTTGCCCAATTTCAAAAGCTAAAATATAGTTTTCATATATTTCAAGAGCCGAGTTACTGCCTCTTGCTTGCTGGTGCAGGGATTGGAAGTGCTATATTTGGGAATCATAGAGTAAGATGCTATGGTGTTACAAATAATATACAACTCAAGTCATGTGGCAAGGACAAACACGAAATAGTCATTGTTTTCTTTATTGAAATAACCAAGAATTGAAAACTGAAGGCAGGTCTTGGCACAACGGTAAGGTTGATCCATTGTGGCATAGAAATACGGGTTCAAAACAGGAGACAGTCTCTCCGCATATGGAAGTATGTCTGCATACATCAACCCTCCCCAGACCCGCAGTGGTGGAAACTTTGTGCAGTAGGCTAGCCCTTTCAGTCTATACAGGAAACTAACAATCCATTGTACCTTTAATTAATATTTTTCCCAAAAGATTCTAGTCTGGCATAAGTTATTAGATTACATATTTTCATATATATTCAACTATAACATCATAATTTTTTTTTTTTCATAGGCCACCAATATATCATCATGTGGGTTACATACAAAATGTCCGTTACACTACTGTTTCTTGTCAAAGGTTCCGGTTAGGCATTTGATTAACATTAATGTGGGAAGGTATTCTTTTCTTCTTCTTTTTTCCCTTTTTTGTTGGATATGTAAAAAATATTTATTGACATCTATTAGATGAATTAAGGAAGGGACACTTACTTCAGGGTTAGCTGAAACTTGATGTGAAAGGCTCCAGATTATGAGAGGAAATGGCTCAGAATTTCTCAAAGGGCCAATACCTTTGGAGGCATTTAGCAAAATCTACATCCTAATTAGTTCCGGCTCTTCACTTTTGTTTATATTATATTTTTGCTCTTTAGAATTTTACAAGCATTGCTCTCATTATCTCATGAAGTTCCTTCTCTACCCTTCTTCGACAACATAGCGTTTAACCCTTGCACACTCTATTTCTTTAATAAAGATCCATTTTCTCATCAACTAAAATTCACAAAACTCTCGCTCCTTTTCAGAAAACATACTCTAAAGGTGAAGTTAGTTGCACCAAGATAATGCTAAACTCACCTTTTCAAGTCATGATACCTTTTCTTTCCAAAAAGACATGATGCATCAATGATCCCCAAAATGATAACAAGTGCAGCAACTATTATTCAAGTTATATAAAATTGATGTCAAAATAACTAGGCACTCAATTCCACATAAAATAATCTTCCTTCTCCTCCAATATAGAACTAACTCCAAATATCACTTTTGCTCTAAAATAATAGGAAATCATCTTGTGTTTTTTTTGTTTCTTCCTTTTCCTTGCCATTTCTTGATTTTTCCTCAATTAAGGATATATACAGTAAATAATTAGGAGTTTAGGGCCACTAGTTGTTTTGAGCAGATATCACCTGGTCTTCTCTAGAATCTCTACAGTAGTTCAAGTACAATCAAGAAAAGAAGAATAATTTACTTACAATGGTGAGCAAGGAGATCGACCCCCATTGACATAGTAAATGAACAAGTATGAATCATAATGCTGGCCATTGATGAAATAAAAACCATACAATCGCCGTACACATTGGAAGGACATTTTCTGGTACAGATGGATGGCAGGATTATTGTAAGAAATCACGTGGAGGTAAACTGCTCGGCAAGTAGGAAGACTTGAGGCATATTTAATAACCTCTCGAATAAGTGAAGAAGCTGAAATTTTAACAGCAGAAATATTATTGGTGAAAGAATGATGAAATTCAAGGAACGTGCCATAGAAGTAACAAATTATTACCTATTCCAAGGTTTCTATAAGATTCTACTACTCCCAGTGTCAGAATGTAAACTAGTGTTTGATCTGATTTTGATGAGTCAAATCTGAGCAAATCTTCTATCTGCAAGGCAAGGGCGGTTTTGAATTGAATACACTCATGAAACAGAATCTTAAATGCCAATTATGCCTTAAATACAAACAAATTCTTGAATGAGGACTCAGTTAGCTATGGGTAGTGTATGTGGCTTGCAAAATGAAGCACTAAGAACCCCTGATGTACTTGAGAAACCATGCTCTCAGTATGACTCAACAGTCAGCGATGCCCAGCTAGACTGAGGGCTCACCTCACTCTCTTTTGCCAGAACAATTCGTGCAGTAACAAATCCAATAAGTTCGTCCCTTTGACCATTAGGTCGATTACTGTCAACAGCTCCCCACGACACGATTTCACGGCCATTAACGACATTCTGAAAGAACTCAGGCTCATACCTGCAAAAATAACAATATGCTCGTTAACAAAAGAAGCAATGACATCATCTTATAGCCGACAACCCATTAAATAACATGAGAATGAGGTCACCAGACCTGATAGGAAATAGATCACCATGGATTTTCTCAACAACCTCTAAATCAGAGGATCGTATAGGCCTATAAGATATGATTGGACGGTGGGAACCTTTCAGGTTTATCATTGAAGAATATGGCATCAATCCCAGCAAAGCTTTGATATATTTGGAGTACCTGTCCAGGAATTTGTCCTTCCATTTATGCTACATCAACCATGAGGGCCATCCAGTAATCGATAGAACCTGGTAAAATGCTTGTTCTGATTAAGAAGTAGCTGTAACTACTGCTTGGTTTCTCTTCTGTTACATTAGGTTGTGGGGAAGATAGATGCAAACAAAAGAATTTTCAGAAACGTGTGTCATTTAAACCCCAAATGGCTATAAGATTCTTACTCTTTTCTTTTTCTCAATCTTCTCATGAACTTAAATAAAACAATGGCCTCAGATAAGTTTGAAAAAACAAGCAGAAGTTGCTTATAAGATGATATATTAATCAAGCATATGTATCAGATAAATTAGATTTTTTTTTTCTGTAAGTCATCTCTTAAAATTGCACGTGAAAGGAAACTTAGAACCCATCAGTATAGAGTTCCATATGATGCTAGTATGCTCAAATACAGATAAAAGGGAACAAATTAGTTGGTTAAAAAGTATTACCCGCTCTTTCCTAGACAACTAACATCCAAGTTCACCAGTGAAATTATTGTACTCTTTAGGGGTGATTGTTGACCCACGACCTGCAGAGTCAACCGGATCAATTATTTTACCAATAGGCAAAGCTTCTAAAGTGTAGCAGGAATATAAGAAGTTCCCCATTCCCAAAGCAGTAGAATTATTGTAGCACAATGATAAAATTTATATTAAGAAAATCATTATCTGCGAAAAAGTAAAATTTAACAGCAAAAAAACAACATGCAAACTATTTACTGCAACTATCAAATTATAATGAGATAAAAAGGATTAACTAAGATGAGACACATGCCAATAGAAATATATAGGTCAATATATGACAGGAATTTATAACAAAAGCACCATTCAGTCTAGAAAATCACAAAACCAGAAGATGATAAATTCCTCCAAATGAAAAGTAAAATCCGATCCCAGCTTCAGCTCAAAGAGGGCTAGAAAAGCTTAAAAAATGATCTGTTTCACTAGGATATGGTTAGCAAGTCAGCTTCTGACTTGATCACTGATGCAGTGAAAACCTTCTGAAAGGGATAATTCCCAAGCCTTTTTAGGATAAAGGATTAGGAAGGTCTTGCTGCAGATTGTACTTGGGTCTCATATGGTGGGCAGTGGGCTAGCCTAGGATCTTTGCTTTACCAGGATGTTGCAAGCCTGGGAGCTGGATGCAATTGATTATTTTCCTTGTTTGTTGTTTACTTAGGTTGTAGATGTGGGGGAGGCTGACTCCATGAGAAGGGTGGCATCAAAGGACACAAGGTTTGAGGTTTATCCCTTCTACAAGGATTTGAAAAGAAAGCTCATCCAATCTTTGTAGAATGCCATTTGATACAACAAAGTACTTCCAGTCAAATCACTTCCCAAAGTTAACAAGACCTCATAACAAGCTAAATCTAATTTATAAATTCATGTGTTCTTGAATAACACAACACCAATTACAGGTCCAAATTCCAATTTATAAACTCAAGACATCTCCAAATGGAAAGAGAGAGTCATAATCATATACTATCTAACTTTATTTCACATAACTACAATTAATATTCATTGGAGTAATCGATTCGGATAATAAATAAACATCAATTTCCATCACTGATTGACACATAATTAGAGAATTGACTTCGTGTATCAACAATAACGAAGTTCGAATTATCAAATTTAAATTCTTTTTCAGAGTCCCATGCTGAGAAGTGTAAAATTAAATTAAAAAAATTAACAATCATCATCAGCAAAGAATAGAGAAGAGATAGAGATGTCCGAATACATTCACAAAAATTGAGCTTTTAGGGCGTATATAATAGATAGCAAGATGAGATCTATAAAGTTGAATCAAAGCTCTTACCTTTTTTATGTGGCGTAATTATACCAAAGCTGTATCGGAGATAGTTCGGAGAAACAGAAAGATATAGAGAGAGAGATCGGATATTGTAGAGAGAGAATCAGAAAGATGTAAGAAAGGGAAAGTCTTTTCCTTCGAAATATATTTTCCGGGAATTGTTTCGTCGGATGGAAAACCAAACAGAAACGTTTGGAATCGAATACTTTCGTGCCTCCCCCTGGTCGTCAACGACTCGTTACTCCGAGTTTAACATTCTGTTGAGGCAAAATGGCTAAAATACCCCCCACTTCTATTAAACAATGTTTAAAAGATTTTCTTTTTTCTTTTTCTTTTCGGTTTTTAAAACTATTTTATCTTCCAAAAGATTACTAACAATGACACAAAAATTAGAAAGAAAAAATAAAATAAAATAAACCATAAAAATTAGTGTGATACACAATGAAAGAGAACATCAAATTGAAAATAGAATAAAAGAAGTTAATTTATTTTAGTTTTTTTTTCAAAATTACAATTATAAGAGTTATTAATTGTGTTCACAAATCACATTATTAGTAAAATGTATTAGTAGTATATCAGAACATGACATATATATATATATATATAAAAGAAACAAATGAGAGAATGAGATGGATTTTTTACTAAGTAATATGTGTAAATATGTTGCTCCCTAAAAATATACAAACGTATGATATAGAAATGATATCTTATTATAAAGAATTTGTTAAAACACATAATGATTGTTGGATAAATTTCTTTTTTTTTTAATAATTATTATTTATATATATATTTGTATCATATCTAACTTTCATTATGGTTGGTGTGAATAAATTACCTTTCACAACCACACACACACCAATCAATAGAGACTATATAACTTATATGATACATAACTTTGATCATACTATAAACAAATAAAATACTTGAAGTCTTGAATATATACACACACATATGGATGGAAATACATATATATGTGTGCCTTTGCTTTATTTAGAAATGGAGCCTCCCACTCAAGAAAAAAATGGGACCTCCAAGTCTATCAATAATAAAAACAACTTTACAGTAAGAATGAATTGGAAATTTCTAGTTACATACAGAATTGACTTAGATATTAAAATAACAAACTTGTTACATTTTCAATTCAATATTTGTTTTTAGGGGTAATATAGCGCATTGGCAGAAATTTGAGAGATAAAAATATTGAACGGGGCATAATTTTGTGTTCATATATTACATATGTATAATTTTCTTTAATTGTAAACATTCCTCTCTCAATAAAAAATGACCTCTTAAAAGTCCGAAATTCAAATTCTAAAATTTTATTTATTTCCAAATAATAAATTAAGGAGAGAGGAGAACAGTTGGAGGAGAAAGAGAAATATAAAGGGAGAAGATGGACGTTTTAACATCGTTTCCACTTCTCTTTCTTTTCCTTATTTTAAGGATTAAGGTTAGCTAGATTTTTGTCTAGAGTATAATTGAAATAATATATATATATATATATATATATATATATATATATATTTGGAGGGTAAATATATAGTTTTATTCTGTATATAAAGTCGACCTATAATCAAACTTAATTATTATTAAAAATATACATATAAAAACTTTCTATATCATAAAAATAATCTCCAAAATCTATAGACAAAATCTTATTAAAAAAAAAAAACAAATAAATTCTTTAAACAAATCTAGTATTTAACTCTGAAATTATGACTTAACGATAAAAATCATCCCATTCAATACTGACACCCAGTGAGCTATTATGATCAGTTTTAAATAAGTGATCAATGGATGATTTATTGATTGGTTGTGTGGTGGGAGAAGGACATAACCAAGGTATCAAGCAATGTTTTCAAATCATGAAAAAGTCATTAATGATTGTAAATAAATAAATAAATAAATCTATCTATCTTACTTGTTACTATTGTTGAAGATCATCCTACCAGAGTAAAATGTCCGTTAAGTCACGGATTCTTATGATGGACAAGTTCAAATTATCTCTGGTGAAGCAATTTCTTACCACAGTAAAAACATTCAACATACTGAAATCATATTTCAACGGATGTGCTCTAAATTTTAATCAATTTTTTAAACATTGAATATTGAACAAATGTGAGGCGAGTTTTAACTATATTGAAATCTTTTTTATTTTTTCATTGAGCCTTCTTGTATCTTCTTGTTACCGTAACATGATATGTTTCGAATTTGATGACAAGAGTTCAAAACTCGGACCGAAAGTTACTGAAATCATTTTCAATACTCCATATTATTATTTCTAATATTAAACTACTTAAATAATGTTCTAACATATTATTATTGTTCTTATTTTAATGTCAAATTTATGTTAAAATTTAAATAAATGTATTATTGAAACATAATTTAAATGTGTTAAAAAAAATTACCCTGCACTAAGCATGACTCATCGTGATAACCAACAGCCTATTTGTTACAAGGGGATATTGATCTCAGGTCGAATCCAAATGGAAGAGTGATTAGGTATAAATGGATAGATATGTAGCGTACTCACCAACTTAAGTTTTTGAATCAAATGGTTAAGCGCCCATTTATTATAGTTGGTATTAAAGTCATACTCAATCTTTAATCCGGTACCCCCACGCCAAGCGTCCAACCCAAAAGATATCGGAGTGAGCCACCAGAGTATGCAAGGTGGCCGACCGCAACAAGTTTGCGAGGGAGAGTGTTACAAGTGGTTACACTAGTGGCCGAAGTTTTTGATATTTGTCCAAAATAAATAGCATCCTTCAATAATTAAGAGAAAAATAAGGGGGCAAAATTAAAAGAAGATGCCTCGCTGGCGCAATGAACCATCCTCGACATTTCTGCCGTGCACTTTTCACCGCTTGGTGCCAGTTTTTCCGGTCTCTCTCTCTCTCTCTCCCTCTTCCTTCCTTTTAATGACTGATCCTCTCTCTCACACTTGCGCACCCACAACCACTTCAGCTTGCTGCACAACAACCCATCTCCTGTGATTTAGGGTTTCTTTTCTATCTCTAATCCCCTCAATTGCTCTCTCGCTATATGTATATATATAGAATCTAGGTATACATCTACTATCTCTAAATTATTATCGTTGGATTGATTTCTGATGGACGGAGTTCAGGAAACAGCGACGATGGTGAGCTCGGAAGCGAGTGTGATTGGGAATTCTCCTCCACCATTTCTGAGCAAAACATACGACATGGTGGATGATCCGTCAACGGACTCGGTGGTGTCATGGAGTAGCAGTAACAACAGCTTTGTAGTCTTGAACGTACCGGAGTTTTCCAAAGATCTTTTGCCCAAGCATTTCAAGCACAACAACTTCTCTAGTTTCGTCAGACAGTTGAATACTTATGTGGGTATTTCTATTTATCTATTCATTCATTAGTGATTTATTTATTTATTTTCCAGTGATTTTTGGTTAATCAGAAACTATAATTTCTGAATTTTGTTTATGAATGCTCTCACTTTTACTCGGATGGAGTTGCAAATTGGATTAGGGTCTTTCCCAGGTTTATGGAATTATTGTATAAATGGAACTTCCGGATCATTAATTGTTTTTTATAAAATTGACTTATTAAATGGCTTATCAGAAATTATAATACTTGTGACTTACCATTTAACGCATAAAACTTCAGTGTCATTGGTGCAAGTTTGAGACTCAGAGCAGTCTTGACTTGAGTCTCCCCATCTTAGGACCTGCTATAGCAGGACCAAAATTAGGTAATGTCCCTTTAATTTAGTTTAGTTGTAAGTTTATAAGTTAAATAGACTCTTGAAACTTCAGTAACATATGTTGCAATAAATTTATTGTTACAGTATTTTTCGTTATTTTTTCACTATTTTGGCCAAAACATCAGAAGATAACGTAGAATTTCATTGAGATTCTGTGAAATACAGTCAAAGTTTAAAAAATTTGGGATCTCCAAGTTATTAACTGGGAATTTTAACAACACCGAATGTGTACCTAAAATTTTAACTGACTTTCTTTTTGAAAGATAATGGTGATTGGTGGTACCAAATTTGATGGAATGGTTTGTCATAAAATAGTATGATGTTCTGCAGTGATGTCAAAGCTGCAAAATAGATTGTTGAATCGTGTAAGAGCAATGATATTTTATGATGTCTGTGAAGCAATATATGCCAGCCCATTACCCATGGTTAACATTCCTGTGAAGGATATTCTTCATGATCTTTATGCCAACAATTTAATTTGGGAACAGCTGCAACAACTGAATGGATGGAGAATTTCAAAACAACATTTTGAGGATATATTATGCCTACCTTTAGTTAAAACACAATGTGCTTGTGGGAATTCGCCGTTTTATTTGATTATTTTCTGAGTTTATCTGATCTGCTGCTGCAAGTGTAACTAAAACGTCTTGTTGAATTGGTAGTTTCTATGTATCTCTGACATGCAACAGCTTTTAACTTAATGTTTTATAAATAATCTAGTGGCATGCTTTATTGACATGGGGTTATTATGACTCTAATGCTGGCCTTATGGCTCTACTGCAACGACCATAATTTGATGTGAGATATGTTACTGCCTTTGGGCTGTTTTAGTTGGTTATCATTGGTTATATGTCGTAGATATGCATAGATTCTCCACTATATATCAAATTCATCATATTGTTCATTTGTGCCCTTAATAGGGTAGTTCTTTTTTCTTTTCTTTTTATCTTTTTCTTTTTTTCCCTGTAAACTTATTGGAGTTTTGGTGTTAACCTCTCTTCTTCTTCTTTTTCTATTTATTTTAAATTTTGGTGCATTAGTCATTGGTGGGTATTTTTTCAGACAGTTGCTTCTGTGTAGTTCCTTTAGGAGCATTTTGTTGCTTAAAATTTATAATTGAACATAATGAATTCAACTGATGTTGGTTTAGTTCCATGTGCCTACTGCATGCTTTTCCAAAGTTAGGGACCAAGTGTGTGTTTTTATAATTTATCTTTTCAAAACCAATAAAGTTCAGATGCAAATTCTTCTACATGTTGCCTTTGCTAGTGTCTTTCACATAATTTTCTTATCAATGTATCATGCTGTTGATTGTTCTTAATATTTGTTTTTGTTTTTTATTTATTTTATCTTTGATCTAGCAGGGTTTCAAGAAGGTGGATTCTGACCGCTGGGAATTTGCAAATGAGGGGTTTCTTAGAGGCCAGAAACACCTCTTAAAGAGTATTAGCAGGCGAAAGACTACACATGTCTCCAGTCATCAACAACCTCCTCAAGTCCAGAGCACGTCAGTTGGGTCTTGCGTTGAGGTAGGGAAGTTTGGGCTTGAAGAAGAGGTAGAAAGTCTCAAAAGGGACAAAAACGTCCTTATGCAGGAGCTCGTCAGGTTGAGGCAGCAGCAGCAAACAACAGATAACCAGCTGCAAACTGTTGGGCAGCGTGTTCAGGTGATGGAACAGCGGCAGCAGCAAATGATGTCATTCCTTGCGAAGGCCATGCAAAGCCCTGGCTTCTTAGCCCAGCTGGTACAGCAGCAAAATGAAAGCAACAGACACATTTCTGGAGTTAACAAGAAAAGGAGACTCCATAAGCAGGACGAAGAAAGTCCAGTGGTCAAGCTTGGTGCTGCTTCACCCGATGGACAGATTGTCAAGTACCAGCCTCTTATGAACGAGGCAGCAAAAGCAATGCTTAGGCAGATCTTGAAGATGAATGCATCTGCAAGGCTGGAACCGTCAATCAACAATTCCAACAGTTTCATGATTGATGATGTGCCGTCTCCGTCGAATGCATTAGATAGTGGTAACTTTTCTAGTCGAATCTCTGGGGTGACCCTTTCAGAGGTGCTACCAATGTCTATGCAATCTTATTCGCCGGCAGAACCAGGATTTCCTGTCAGTAGTTCCTCAGCTGCCCATTCTGAGATCCAATCATCCCCTGATGTGCTATCTAGTCCATTTGAAGTAGCTCAGTACCCAGAAATGAATGTGCTTAATTCTCAGGAAGCTACAGTTTTACCTGAAATTTCTCATTTGCATGGAATCATACCAGATAGCTCTTTTGAAGTGCCTAACATAAGTTTTGAGGAGCCTGAAATTGGGGATAGGGGATTTATTGATAAGATGTCAGGGTTTGTGGATAGGCCAATGCCTATTGTCCCTGAAGAGTTTTCTCCTGATCCTGATATTGATGTCGTGCTTGATGAGATCCCTAAGCTTCCAGGCATTAATGATGTTTTCTGGGAACAGTTTCTTTCAGTGAACCCACTGGCTGGCGATACTGACATGATCAATTCTAACACACTGGAAGGTGCTGTTGGGAAGGAACAGGAGCTACGGATGGGACTGGAGAATGGTTGGAACAACACCCAACATATGAATTATCTTACTGAACAGATGGGGCTTCTTGCGTCTGAGGCAGGAATGGGGTGATCTTGGGTTACCAATTGTATATTGGTGTCTGTCTTCATCCAGAGGTAAAATTTTGAACCTGCTATTACTACAATGTGATTGATGATTGTCCCCATCCCACTTTGTTGACTGTATGAGGGCCAGCTATTTGTTAGGCTGGTACTTGTATATCTCCATCCCTCTTCACTAACTGTACGAGTCAGCTAACCATTTGTTATGGGTTCTCAGATCATCCATTCCCTTCTTCACTAACTTGAGTGAGAGTTCATTTGCGGTGCTCTCACCCACTGATTTCCATATTCTTGATTTAGTCTTTGCATGTCCATGTTCCTTTTCTCATTTTCACCAAGTTGATGCTCGGTGTTGACGAGATCTAGAAGAGTCCTTTTTTTAGATTAGACTTGCTATACAAACAATGATTTTCACGAAATGTATGTATTTATGTATGTATCTTTTCACAGTACTCTAAAATTCCACAAATGTCAGCATTATATCATGTATTCATATGACATGTATTCATATGACTTTTGGATTTACTTGGAATCACAAATGTATTTTAACAAATAAAGAATGGCATACATGTTAATTATTTTGTCCATATGTTGGTTGGATTTCCCTTCTGAGATCCAATTTCTTGTTAATGCATGTGCAGACTTTTTAGGACTTTCCCCCACCCCCTTTTTATCTGAAAGAAGTTATTCAACTCAATTCCGGAGTCCTGGATTTGTAAATGTGCTTGGTGAATGTACTCGACAAGTGTGGTTTGTTGGGTTTCCACTTTTGGATATCTATATGGTTTTTGTAGGTTGGTGCTCTGCGCTGCTGGGAAGTCAAAGCTTTTGTTAAACGATGGAAGACCAGATCAAGTTGAAGCTTTAGTTTTTTTACCCCTTCTATCTATATTTTGTAATTTCATTTTGGCACGTGATTATCTAGAGACTTCCATACAAATATTAATGATGCAATATAGTGCTATGATATATGAAGTATGAATTACATTTGATGAGACGATTTGGAGGATGGGTTGATTGGAGTTGGGGCACAAGACTCTTTCTGGCGGTAAATTGAGCCCACAGAACCTCTAGATTAGTAGTATTAAATCCAATATTGATGCCATGTTCTTCCTTTTCTAATCTCCATGAGATATCTGATTTTAGCACAGCCACCGGACGTAGTTGTGGGTTGTGCAGCCAATATAGAAGCTTATTGATGGGATAGATGAATTGGCTGGAGGTAGGAGCTGTATATGAAATCGGCAATATCTATTCTTTCTCTCTATGTTCTTTAGGTGAAGTGGCTATTTTATAGGAGGTTTTTTTTCCCCGATATTTATCAGACAACTTCATCGACTGTTTTAACGGCACATATAATTATTTGTGCGAGCAATTCCTATTAACATGGTCTAGATTAAGGATGCTTTGTGACTGGACTTTGCATCTCATAAGTAGAATAACATGAGCATGAAAATGCCATTTGCGTCGGCCTTGCAGACCAAAATAGTGTTCCGCAATGCTAAAGACGTGTTCACAAATATGCATGTGAAACTAAACTGCTGCAAGTGATTGTTTTCAAGGTCAGACCTGAGCAAGACTTTCTCACTTTGTGTCGTAACTGCTGCAAGTGATTGCTTTTAAGTGCTGGCATGGGCAATACTCTCGCTTTGTGGCATAATATCTGGATTCAGATTGTAGTTTTCTGGAAGGAATTGCTCTCAATCTCAACTTGTTTTGTATATGCACGAAGTCCATAATTCTCATGTGCTGTCATTTTAGTTGGCATTAAGCCATTTAGAAGGAAAATCATGTTGATTGAACTCAACATAAAGCGAGTTGATGAATTTTAGAATGACCTGTAGTATAACTACCATACTTGAAACTGTACTTTACCTGAGCGAGATAGCAACCATCAGCAGCTGTAGTGATCTCGCATAGCATGCAGGACTATTTGAGATGACGGGGTTTGGTGGCAACAACGGGAAGCTGAGCAATGAATAAGGGATGCAAATGGTTTCAACTTTTATTGATACAAAAAGAGGAATCGCTTGCATGATCTGGCTATAAAATAGCCCTTTGGAGTGTTTGACCCACATATACAAGTATTAGACTGTACTGCTCTGTTCGGCAGGAAGGAAGAAAGAGGGGTGGAAAGAAAATAGGAAGGAAGGAACAAAATTATTTCATTCGGTAAGAAGGAGACACGGAGGGAAAGGATAATAGAAGGGATGTCTTATCCCTCCTTTACAAATTTTCATCTGCCCAAATTTGGGCAGAAGACGAGAGAAAATAAGTGAAACTATTATAAAATTGTTAGATATTGAAGACGAGACGAAGAAAGTAAGATAATTACAATATTATCCTTTCCAAATATTAAAAATTAAGCCCTACACATCTCATCTCACGGAAAAAAACCCTATCAAGGTATGAGTCATGTGTTATATATATATCAGGTCATGTAATCCTTGTTTGGTCGAGATCTAGATCTTATATATATATATATATATATAAAGAACCATACAAGATCCATATTTAGAACGAAAAAAAAAAAAAAAAAAAAACTCCATGTTCACACTAGTTCGAAAAACATAGTTACTTCATTAGTGTTGTCATATATTTGTAAGACTACAACTAGTGGTGCAAATAATTTTGAGTGTTCAGATTTTATGTTGTAATGCAAGTTAAATATAACGCAAATGGTTGAAAATAAGAATTTTAGTTTGACATGACTCTACTGGGATAATATTTATCAACGAAATATGTTGATAGTGGGGTACATTTTTTTATATTATTATTATTCGTGATAAAATATGATTATATATATATAATATTAAAGCAAACAATAAATTAGAGTGAAATTAATGGTACTGTTTAAATGAGTAGCGAAGATAATGAGTAGTAAAGATGATGGCTATTTACTAAGAAAAAAAATAATGAAGAGTATAATGGTAAAAATAATTTAAAATTCTCTCTTTCCTTCTTTCGCAACAAACAAAGGAATTTGGTACGTTCTTCTCTCTTCTCTTTCATCCAACCAAACAAAATAAGAAAAGTCCATAATCTCTTCCATAGGAATGTCTCATCCTTCCCTTCTTCTTTCCCTTCCATTTAATTTACTTCCTTCCTAACGAACGGAGCCTACATGATCAACTTCATACCTGCTAAGTGTGAGAGGGTAGCTTACCATATGTGATCAGGTCAGATGTCTGAGCAACCACCTCAAGTCTATGTCTGAGACCCACTTCACGCAATGACAAGTATCATAACAATAAGTAGAATGATCCCAAAAATCACCAACAGCAAACAGGTCTGGATGAAAAGTTAAATGTCAATATATTTTCCAAAAAAATAAAAATAAAAAATGGTAAAGAGCATAAAAACTACAGTTCTGCAAAAACTACAAATATAACTTGCAAAGAACAACAAACCACACATTGTTACTTCAATTCTAACACAATTGTGTTGATGTTCCACAAGAGTGCAAGCTAACATGACAACCATGGTACACGATATTGGTCGCGGTTTAATAGATTTGGACAAAGTCAATATAAACTGGTCGATACGAATCGCGTATCGAACTTGAAAATGGGTCGCCTATCAGATGATACGGCGAATGATGGTGGCAATTTACAAAATCTTCAATGGTTGATGCATACCAACAGGCTAGTGACCTAGTGGTACAAGATCCTTACTTTCCAAAGGAAGGTCATGACTTCGAGCCTCAGTAAAAGCATGTGCGTGTGAGTACCAACTAAGAAAAAGAAGAAAAAAAAAAAATGTTTGATGCATAGAGGCATATTGAAGTGGAATATGGAGAGAGGAGTTCAACAAAGCAAAATGAAATAAAAATACAAACCTTAGTATAGAGTGTCCTGTGAATTAGTGACTATTTGAGACCAAAACTGTAAGAGCAATGCTATGAGAGTAAACACTCTAACTAGTCGTGGGCTCACAACAATATGAGACACCCGACTTTCAGATATCGTCAATTTTATAATTTTCCAAACCTTAATGTCACTCTAGATAACAGTGCCATTTTATGTTTAAGCTAGTATTTTTGTCTTACCACAAAACAAACTATTCATTCAAAAAGAGTTAAAAAAAAAAAAAAAAAAAAGAAAAAAAGAAAAAAGGTTACCATAGATGAATTGGATCTTTGAGTCTCGGAAGCTTTGGCCAGTTGGGAAGTAGCTTGTCTAGTTGCAGTATTGGAATTATCGATGTTTGAACTAATATCATCTGAAAGAAGGTAAGTTGTGTTTTTCATATGATAGAACGTACAAGCAAAGCTTGATGAGTATTTACCAGAATGGGAAATTTACAAGGTAAAAAAAAGAAGAAGAAACAAAAGGCTAACCAATAATAACTCCTTGCTTATGTACCAAAACAGCCAGATCTTTGAAAATCTCGTTCGCCTCACTTATCTGCAGCTGAATTTCTTGGATTCCTTGCTCTCTTTCTTCAATAATGGCTTCATTTAAAACAATCTCATTGTCCAATAGTAAAACCTCCTGTCTGCACCAAATCATGTAGAAATTGGATATGTTATCTGATAGAGCTTTTAAATTTTTTAAAACTGGATTACTTGGTGTATATTATTTCGCTCACTGGGATGTTGGGAGGAGAAGAGGGGAAACAGACCTAACGGACATTATTTTGTACAAAGTAAAGTCCGCTGGGAAGTGAAAACGGGAGACAAACTTTACATTTGACATTATTTTGTACAAAGCGAAGGAAGAGAAAAAGGGAGACAAACCTAACATTTGACATTATTTTGTACAAAGTGACTGTTTTTAATTTACTGGGAGGAGAAAACGGGAGATAGATTTAACATTTGACATTATTTTGTTCAAAATGGTTGTTTTTGGGTATTGGGAGGAGAAGAAGACTGGAAACATACCTAACATTTGACATAATTTTTTTCAAAGTGATCGTTTTTTTTTTTTTTTTTTTTTTTTTGGTGAGGGGAAACAGACCTAGCCTTGGACATTATTTTATACAAAATTATTGCTTTTTAGTATGTTGAGCGGAGAAAACATTATTCAGCACCTTGGACATTATTTTATACAAAATTATTGCTTTTTAGTATGTTGAGCGGAGAAAACATTATTCAGCAAATTTCAAGCTGTAGCAGGATACATTTGCCCACACAAACCATGACAATGAGCTCCCGAAAGTAAACAATTTATGAATTTGAATCATACAGATAATATACATTTGTATACCATAAATTGCTCACCTTTTAGGTTCTACAAGAAGAGACAACTGTTTGGTGCTTCTGGATGGACTTATCTCCATCTTGTCTGCAGTGTTGCTTGTATAAAATGTGATCAAAGACATCAAGAATTGAGTATGCAAAAGTACGTTTATCTTAAATACAATATAAGTGATATACCAACTTATTAGAATATACAAGGATTATCAAGTATAGTGTATTGAGATGTAATTATACTATCGTTTGTAAGCACCGAATCGATGCATTGAAATTGAAATTGAATACGCATACGCTATGTTTAGAGTACCGAATCAGCGGCTTGAATTTGGAATGGAGAACAATTTAGTTAAAAATTAGGACGAAATTTGTTCCAATTTCAAATACTGATTCGGTGCTCCAGACGCAACAATAAACAAATCTAACCATATAATAGTAATTAAGAAGTTCACTAAATACCTGGATGGAAAAACTTCCTTGGGAATGAAAGGAGCATAATTTGACGCAACAATAAACAAATCTAACCATATAATAGTAATTAAGAAGTTCACTAAATACCTGGATGGAAAAACTTCCTTGGGAATGAAAGGAGCATAATTTGTTTCCCTCTCAGATGCAATCCTTTGAGCCTTCTGAAATTCTTTAAGAACTGATTGGAAATCTTTTGCAAGCTTAGCATCAGCAATCTTCTTGCTCGCCTGAAGTTGAAGCAAAAGTTTACAAATGGACAATGGAAAAGAATCTGTTTGGTTCAGTTTTTTTAGAACAGTTCTCTACAATTCAGAAAACTGTTTTCAGATAATTATAAAAAAATAATAATAATAATTATATGAAAATAGACCAATTTTTAACCAAATTTTTATAAAATAATTTTTGAAAATTGTCAACTGAACATATTTTTGTAGGAACAAACTTACACTAACTTTAGCATCCCGATCTGTTTCACTAGCTTGCTTAAGCTTTGCTGAAGTCTCTTTCACCAATTGCCCAATGTGTAGCCTTGTCTTGTGCCTGCCAGTGAAGTCAATCTGATGTCAAAATTGGCATATAACAGACATATAACATACCAAGCAGCAATCATTCCATATATAATCTACACTACCTCAAAAAAAACAGAACAAAAAAAAAAAAAAAAACAAAACCGCAAAAAGTGAGGGAACAAATAAATCTTAAATATGAGTCCAAAATTATGAAATCGTAGTTTTTTGGTTCAGTCCTGATTTGGGGTGTTACCGCCTGGTCCGGACCAAACCGTTATATAACCTATATTATATATATGTATATATATATATATATATATATATATATATTCATATTTTTTTAAACTTCATAGTGATTAGTGAACTAAATCTATATACATTTAGCCATGGTAAGAAATAATTATGATAGCTGGGAGCTTCAAACATTAGCTATTCCGTACTTCATCTCTCTTATTTTTTGAAATTTTGAGTTATTTTTTTATTTTTTTTTTTTTTCTTTTCCCAGTATCTCTAAATGGTAAACAGGGAATGTTGTATTTTTTTTCTTGTGATCATCTGGTCACTGTCTGTTTGTTTGTTTCACAAGTCACAGGTGCCTGATATTATTGACAATGCATATGTGATTGTCATCTAGTCATTGTCGGTTTCCTGATGTATTATATACAGGGAAAAATAAGAAATTTTGTTTTTAAAAAATAAAATAAAAAGGAAATCAACTTAAACTGACAAACCGAACCAAACCAAACCGGTTTTTTACAATTTGGTTTGGTTCCATGGATATTATAGTTCAGTCTTATTTCAAAAATAGTGAAACAATTATAAATTGTTTGGTCCAAAAAAACTCTCAATTCGATCCAAACCGGACCGTGTGCACCCCTAACCGCAACATTACATGCATTCACAATTGCTCGAAGCCCATAATTCATTCATTAAATAAAACCCAAAATTTCGACCTTTTAGTAGCTGAGAAAATGTCACAAAAATAAAATACTTTTCCTACATATATATAACAAATGGCTCAATAGGAGTGAGTTTTATTCTTATTATTATTATTATTTTCCTTTCCTCGAAACAAAATGCATTACATTCAAACTGTTTTTCCCTTTCCTTCTCCTCACTTCAATATTCAATTATTCTTTTTTGGCAACCTAACAACACATTGAACAATATAAATAAAAAATAAAAACTTTTCTTTTTAAAAGTAGTATGGGATGAAAAAAAAAAAGGTTAAATAACATGGAAATGAAAAATTAGAAAAAGCAATATATATACTAACAGCTTTTGACGAAGTTGAAGGGTGTCCCTGGGAGTGCCAAGGGTGTTTACGAGACGCCGGAAAGAGGCAACCGCCGTGTTGAGCTGGAAAACGCCGCCTGCAACGGCCTGGGAGAGGTCTTGTTTTTGTCTTTCATTAGAACAAAAATGCCGACCTGATTCAAGATCTTCAAAGCTCATGTTTCCTTGTAAAGTAAGTGAACGGGTTGAATTCACATTAAGGAAGTGAAAGGGTTGAAGAAGAAGAAGGAAAGGTTTTGGAGTTTATTTGGCGGAGAATAATATATAGGAGAGACTACTACGAGTAATGTAATGTGTGTTACTGTGTGCAATTTTAGGTAATGACGACAAGAGGAGGAAGTTGCTCGTGGAGTTTCCTAGTTTTTGGCTTTTTGCCTTTGTATATCTCCATGGGCCCTACTCCTACCTACAATAATGCTACCCTAATCATTGGTTTTTAAGTTTCATTTAACTTATTTACTTCAACTATCAATTTTTTATTTCTTTATTTTTATTTGCTTTGGAATTATCACTTGAACTATCCAATCAAAGGAATTATCATTTTACTGAGCAAAATGCAATAAGTGGGGGTGAATTGTAGTGAATGAGATTCACATTTCAGCTTATATCATACATTAAATGGATAAAAATCTTCTCCGTTAAGTCAATAAATTAGAATAATCGATCTAAATAACATTACTCGAAAAACTATATTTCTTCTTTTAATTGTATTTTCTAACGTTTTTCAAGTTAGTAAGAGTGAGGATGGATGACAAGTACTATTTGTGGACAGTGGTGTGGTTCATGCATTGTCACCTGAAGTCCGCACTAGCTGGGGCTTGAAGATGGCTTGGCTTGTCTTGTCTTAGATGGAAAGCTTCCCAATCAAAAGTTGCTTCCTCCACCACCAATTCTTCCCAAATGTTAATCTTGCTTCACTTCTGGATTAACTACTCTTGGTTTGCAAAAAATTGACCGCCTTTTTTCTACCCATATAATTAATTCATTGCCTTTTTTCTTTTTTCTTTTTTCCGGAGGATTTGTGTTTCCTAATTAAAATTTTCGGTTTTGATATATATATATATATATATTTTTTTTTTTTCTTGAGGAGATTACGAAGAAGAGTGTGCTAACTTTTTTAACTTCCGGAACATGTTTATGCAAGGGTGAAAATCAATAATTTTGTTGGAATATTGAGCTTTTATTTTTCTGTTTTCTATTTCTAAGCAAGGCATGGAAATTAAATTTAGTTTTTGCAATATAAGAAATGGAAAAAGCTTGGCCAGCTTACCAGTTGATAATACTTATGAATGGTGTTGTATTGTAACTTGTAAGAATACTTGTGTAGTCAAATAAGGCTGCAAAAACTTAGGCCAGCCGTCAACATTTTTTTTTTTAATTATTATTTTTTTTGGGTAAGTAATAAGAGTAGTTGTGTAGGTACGGAAAAGTACTGCACCAAGAGACAAGGCTTCAAGAAGGCAGTCACAAAATAACCAACACCATACAACCAAAACTCTCAACAGAGCAAGAACAGAGCAAAAGTCCATCCTACAGAAATAAACCACAGCAGAGCACAAATTCATAGCTTTTAGGGATACATCATACAATTTCACATTTAAGAACAGCCACATTTTCAACAATTTAGTTCCAAAGAAGCAACTGTGGATCAAGTTTTAAATGGCAATCTAAGACTGTTTTTTGTCGAAACAAGCATGGCATTCAACATCTTCAAACCAATGCAAACTAGTGAGAGCTATGCGCACACAACTTCACAGCATGTCCGTATCTCATGGACGAAGATCGAACCATCTATGATAATCTGAATTGAGTAATACAGACTGCGTTGCTTCATCATCAGGAGTGTTTGTTCAATTAGAAAGATCCATGAACTACTTAATATTGTAATATGTAAATTATAACAAATAATTGCCTGAAGAAAATTAATATATTTTTGTAGATAAATTGTTCAGAATTGGTGGTGTTAGGCACATGAATTTATGAATATTAAGTCTAGAAATTGCATACGTAAGAACCTTTACAAATATACGATTCTATGAAGATACTGACCCAATGAAAACTGTTAGGAAACTTCAAATTTACATTATTTCTGTGCATATGAAGAATGATAACTGAAAATTAAGAGATTAAAATAAGGTCATTCTTGAAAACCAGGAACAAGAAGGTCACTAATAGTCCAGCCACATGAGTTCTTTGTTTTCCAATAAAAGGTCATTAATCATTATGTTTTAGGCACTAGTAAAATGAAAAATGATCGAACTCATTGATTTGGTCCTTGTATACAATTTTTGGTTTATGCTAAATGATAAATGTTGTGCTTATGAAACTCCTGTAAATATTGTCAAAGGCTCACTAGAGGTCTTTTGAAGCCTAAGCGCAAGGCAAAGTACGCTTAGTGAAGCAAGACGCACAATTAAAAAATTAAATTATTATTAAAGCATATTCATATTCCTTATTAAGAGCGCAAATGTTATCAATGGCGCACATAGGCACACAACAGGCGTAAGTGTTGCACGTGTATGAGCCTGAGCATACGCCTAGGCTCGCCTTTGACAACACTGGACTCACCGATTTGCAAAATGAAGCCTTTATTGGTGGGACATTAGGCAATGAGTTTTTCTTTTCTTTTCTTTTCTTTTTTTCCTTTTTTTTTTTTTTTTTTTTTTTCTTTTGTTATTTTATTGGGTAGGTGACAATGGGTATTCCTTATTGCTGTCGTAGTATCAAAATTTTGTTTGAACCGAACAAAGTTTTCTCAGTAATTGTCCGAGGCATGTGGATCAGAATATTGTATACCTGATGATAGATTATAGAGCGTTCTAAAAGGCCCGATACTACCACCTGACAAAAGTAAGTCTTACTTAATTTTCAAATTTACTATTATTGTACAAGAAGCTTTGCTTAACTTTATAATGAAGTATTCAGAATACATGTGGTTAATATTAGAATGCATTTGTTTTAGGAGGGAAAGGGATTGACTTCAGTAGACATCAAAGCTGTTATAGTTTGTACAGTAAGGAACAACCGACAGCTAACAATGGTAGGAGGTTGAAGGCTACCAGGCAACCATTGCCAACATAATGCTCCAAATTAAATTGATTAATTGTCCAATCCATTTCACTCAATGAAATCATGTCTATTTTATTTTCTACTCAAACCATATAAGTTGTTTTCAATGAATTGAAAATTCCCAATATAGTGACTCTTATACCCTCATTTTGCTGTTCAAACAAGTTTGGAAATTAAATCATTTGTTTTGTGGAAAAGGGCATTCTGGGAACTCTGTGAAAACCGTTAAATTTATTATTTAATCAAATAAGACAATCTAACTTGGACAGCCCTCAAAGTAAGGTTGGCCAAAAGCCTATGTCAATTAATTCAACATTATCTGTTATTTGGAGGTATGGTCTGTCTTGTAGGTGATAATCCCATATTAAGCACCTAATTAACCAAAAGCACCATCTAATTGCTCACTATATATACACTCTTCACTTGCTCTCTGTATCTCCATCAATCAAGCTTGAGTCACACAAATTACCAATTGTCTCTTGTTATCTTCTCCATCAGCCAAAGTACACACAGACATGGGTTTTTGCTCCCCAAAGGTCTTACTCTTTGCTTTGAGTTTTTTGTTAGCTTTTGCAGAGCTTGTGATTGCAAAACATGTTGGCATTACCAGGCACTACAAGTTTGATGTATGTATTGCAATTTATGTACATCAATATACATACATACATATATATATATATATATATAGATATATAGCTAGCTTAATGCATCAAGAAATGTACTGCATATATAATATGACCTAACTTGATCTGATTTTAATATGTTATTTACAGATCAAGATGCAAAAGGTGACAAGGTTGTGCCAAACAAAGAGCATTGTGACTGTGAATGGGCAGTTTCCAGGGCCTCGGATCATTGCAAGGGAAGGCGACAGATTGTTAGTTAAAGTGGTTAACCATGTTCAGTACAATGTCTCCCTTCATTGGTACGTAACCACCACCCTGTTATGATTATATGTAGTTCTTCTGGTGGTTGTGACTTGTGAGTGTTAATTTGCTACATTAATTTTGATTTTGTATATATATTATATGACTAGAACTTTTGGGCATGACAGGCATGGGATCAGGCAGCTTAGGAGTGGATGGGCAGATGGACCTGCATATATTACACAATGTCCAATTCAGACAGGCCAAAGCTATGTATACAACTTCACCATTACTGGCCAAAGAGGAACCTTATGGTGGCATGCTCACATTTCATGGCTGAGAGCCACTCTCTATGGACCTATTGTCATCCTCCCAAAACGACACGTTCCGTACCCTTTCCCACAACCCCACAAAGAAGTCCCCATCATTTTTGGTAATTTAAGTTGATCATGCATGTAGCAGAAAAAAAATATTAAAAATTTGTTAATCACTGTCTATAATTATTGAATTGTTCTCATTTTCAATGACATGACTTTGTCTTGGATTGCAGGTGAATGGTGGAAGGCAGATACAGAGACAATTATCAGCCAAGCACTGCAATCTGGTGGAGCCCCAAATAATTCTGATGCCTTCACCATTAATGGTCTTCCAGGACCATTGTACAACTGCTCAGCTAAAGGTATATATAATGACTGAAATACAAAGGTTTATTTGGTTAATGGTTTTCTATTTTCTAACAACTAAAAAAACACTTTTATTTTACACTTTAAAAAAATATATATATATTTAGAGAACACTCAATTTCACATAACCACCTTTTGTAGTTATTTGAAAATAATTTTATGTTTTTTAAGTCTCGAAAATTATTTTTAGATAACTAAATCAAACATGCATTCACAAAAAATACACTATGACAATTATGAAAAAAAAAAAAAAAAAAAAAAAAAAAAACCACTTTTGATTGATAAATTTTAGTATTAATTGGGAGAAATTATTTATTTGTGAATTGAAATAAGACAAACTATATATTTGCAGATACCTTCAAACTGAAAGTGAAGCCAGGGAAGACATACCTCCTCCGTCTGATCAATGCTGCACTCAATGACGAGCTATTCTTCAGTATTGCTAACCACACGGTCACGGTTGTGGAAGCTGATGCTGTCTATGTTAAGCCATTCAAGACCAGCATTGTTCTCATTACCCCTGGACAGACCACCAATGTACTCCTCAAGGCCAACTCTAACATCCCTAACAGTGCCACCTTCCTAATGGCGGCTAGGCCTTACGCCACTGGTCCTGCAACCTTTGACAACACCACAACCGCCGGAATCCTTGAATATCACCACCCTTCCTCCGCCACAAAATCCCAAAAGAAGAACCTCCCACTTTTGAAACCAAAACTTCCTAAATTCAATGACACATTGTTTGCAACAAAATTCACCAACAAACTTCGCAGTTTGGCCACCAAGAAGTTCCCTGCAAATGTACCAAAGACTGTCAATAAGCGATTTTTCTTCACCGTGGGGCTAGGAATAAGCA